TGCTATCTCTATGCAAGATGATGTCGAAATCTGTCACTCCTTCCACCTGCTACTAAGGAGGCTGTCCAGGTCCTGAACCGGTGCTTGGCCGCTGTATCGGACTGGATGAGGGCTAACAAATTGAAACTGAATCCAGACAAGACAGAGGTACTCCTGGTCAGTCGTAAGGCCGAACAGGGTATAGGGTTACAGCCTGTGTTAGACGGGGTTACACTCCCCCTGAAGACGCAGGTTCACAGCTTGGGAGTGATCCTGGACTCATTGCTGAGCCTGGAACCCCAGGTCTCAGCGGTGGCCGGGAGAGCTTTCGCACAATTAAAACTTGTGCGCCAGCTGCGCCCGTACCTTGGGAAGTCGGATCTGGCCACGGTGGTCCACGCTCTTGTCACATCCCGGCTGGATTACTGCAACGCACTCTACGTGGGGTTGCCTTTAAAGACTGCTCGGAAACTCCAACTAGTTCAGCGAGAAGCAGCCAGATTGCTCACCGGAGCGGCGTACAGGGAGCACACCACCCCCCTGTTGCGTCAGCTCCACTGGCTGCCGATCCAAGTCCGAGCACAATTTAAAGTGCTGGTTTTGACCTATAAAACCCTATACGGTTCCGGCCCAGTGTACTTGTCCGAACGGATCTCCCTCTACGTCCCACCTCGAAGTTTAAGATCTTCTGGGGAGGCCCTGCTCTCGACCCCACCAGTGTCACAAGTGAGGCTGGCGGGGACGAGGAGCAGGGCCTTCTCAGTGGCGGCCCCCCGCCTGTGGAACGCCCTCCCCGGGGAGATTAGATCGGCGACCTCCCTCCTAGCATTTAGGAAAAAACTAAAGACCTGGATGTGGGACCAAGCCTTTGGTCACTCTGATAATTAAATCAAGGACCGGTGACAGACAAGGACAAATGGAATAGAACGGATGTATGGACTCTGACATATGGACTCTGACATGAGATTGTTTTTAGGATTATGTTTTATTATGTATTGTTGTTTTTAACTTAACTGCTGAATTTTATATTTTTTGGATTACTTGTTGTGTGATTTGGGCATCTAATTGTGCCCTTTATGTAAGCCGCCCTGAGTCCCCCTAGGGGTGAGAAGGGCGGGGTATAAGTGAATGAAATAAATAAATAAATAAATAAAATGTTTTGGTTCAGAAACATAAAAACAACTCTTTCCTTCCAGCTTTAACAATGATTGCTTCTCATAATTGCCCATCATTTATGTTACAGCACAAATATAAGGACTTTGACACTATAGACTGAATGGTGATGCAATAAAATTAATTAGAACTTTATGGTGGGATTAATGAATAGCTTGCATTTACTGTAGGGAAATAAACCTTTGGACGGGAATGCAGATTTTGCATGGGCACAGATGCTGTTGAAAGAATGACTGATATATGGCAATATAGCCAAAGTGGAGCAAACTGGAGAAAAGAAACACACAAATGCAGCTGCGTCTGTTTTGCCAGTCTTAAAAGCACCATAGTTCAAAAGCGTCTATCTTCCCTCGCTCAGCCTTTCTTATGGTCCAGCTCTCACACCCATAGGTTGCTATGGGGAATATTGCTTTAACTAAGCAGATCTTCGTTGCCAGTGTGATGTCTCTACTCTTCACTATTTTATCGAGATCGGGCATTGGTCTCCTCCCAAGAAGTAAACGTCTTCAGATTTCCTGTCTGCAGTCTGCGTTTGCAGTAATTTTCGCACCTAGAAATACAAAGTCTGTCACTGCCTCCATGTTTTCTCCTTCTATTTGCCAGTTATTAATCAGTATAGTTGCCATAATCTTTTTTAATGTTCAACTGCAACCCAGCTTTTGCACTTTCTTCTTTTGCCTTAGTTAGAAGGCTCCTCAGCTCCTCCTCACTTTCAGCCATCAAAGTTACAAACATGGTTTACTGGTGCGTTTTTGCTAAACACCGAGACTTATCTAACTTCTTTGAATGGTCTGAATTGTGCCTATAATAAGATAGTAGCCCATCTCTGCAGCTTTCGGGCTGAAAAGCAAAAAGACTGGATATAAGCTTAAAAAGGAATAGACGGATATCATTTTTCAGAAGCGTCTATCACTACATTTTTTTAAAAAATCCATTATTTTTAGGTTGCCTCCATTATGATATGTATAATAAAAGGAAAGGAACAGTACAAACCACTCTGTAAAATGTCAGTGCTGGAGCTTAAATTTCTGCAAACAAGATGGAAGAAGCCAGATACCAGCCAAATTGGGAATATTCCTCAGTCTGCCAGTTCTCTATTTAGACCTTATTTTAAAGTAACTTCCCATTACTGGTTCTTTCCTTCTTTGGAGGTGGCTAAGCCATATTTGTTATTTAAGGACAGAGCCAGGCTTGGTTCTGCAACAAAGATCAGCTGCAAAAAGATGGTTTTGCTGGCAAGGTGTTCCAAATGCCAGCAACACCACTGATGCTGTAAAAAAAAAAACCCCACAACTTTGAAATATACGGAAGCGATTTTGGCAAAAATCCTAGCTTAATTTGGGAGCAGCAGAGGGGGAGCGGATACCACCCACCCCCCGCTCCCCTGGCACATCATTTCTATGTGCTGGGAGAGCTGGCCAAAGCCTGTAATGGAGGCCAGATAAGTTTTCATTACTTTTCTAAGAGATCTGGGAGCTTCGGGTGAGGGGGATGGGTATTCCCACAGTTTACTGGGCTAATTTAGCCTGATAAACTGTGAGAATACTGTATGGACTGCAATATTCTGCAGTCCAGAACCAAAAATAGTGGGTTTATCTCGCGTTTTCCAAGAAGGCGTGAAATGAACCCACTATCTAATTAATTCTCTACAAACCAGGGTTTTCCTGGTTTGTACCAAATTAATTCGGGACTGTCCAGAACATTGTCTGGACAGCTCCCCCTGTTTTGCAGTAGATACCACAATAAAGGTACTGTCTGGATGGGCCCACTGCCTCACTTAGGTATGAAAGTTAAAACTTTACATGCCTTGAAGTTATTTGTGGACTGTTGTTGAGCCAGCGTCACTCATCCTATATCTATGCATTTTATTTTATTTTTGCCTAAGTGAAGTTCTCCTTATTGAAATTCATTTTGTAAGATTTGCCTCAGCTCTCTAATCTGTTAAAGTCATTTTGAATTCTGATCCTGTCTTCTGGAGTATTTACTGTCCCTCCCAATTTGGTGTCATCTGCAAACTTGAGAAACACGTCCTCTAAACCTTCATCTAAGTCAGCGATGGGCAACCTTTTGAGCGCGGTGTGTCAAAATTTGCCAAAAAACTGAGCATAATTCAGGTGGTGTGTCACTTCAAGAAAAAAAACATAATTTCGCAATATTTAGTTTAAATAACAAAAAAAGATATAATTGTAATTACCACTTTCTCTCTTATCATGTTGTTCTACCTCTCTTTATGTAAATAATATCCTTTTTGGAGTGTTTAATAAAAATATAATTTTAAAAACCCAACAAAATATTATTTATTTTTAATTTAATGTAAATGTATTTCTAGCATTTAATATGCTGTTTAATGTATTTCTAATAATAATAATGCAATAATAATAAAGTAACATTGCGAAATAATATATTGATATTTAATTTACCATTTCATTTAAGGCATATATATATGTAAGGCATATATTAAAAATATTAAAAATGCATTAAATTAAAATGCATTAAATTAAATGTCAAATAAAAATTCAACTTACCATTTCATTTAAGACATTCTGAAATATTTGAGTAATATAGAAAAGTAATATTATTTATCATTTAATTTAATTTAAATATGTAACTCCTTAATATTTAGGAAACAATGCAAAATAATATTCATTTACTTAATAATTAAATAAACCAATATTATTGTGCAATTGGTTTATTTCCTTTGCAAAAAGAGAAAACTCATGTAACCAGGAAGAAAGGAACCACGCGCGGCTGAAGAGGTGGACCCAGGAACGTTTGAAATGGGCGGAGCCTTCTTTCCAGGAGGCCAATGGGAATGGAGATACAGGGAAGAGGCATGGCCTTTCCCGCCCAGGGCTTTTACTTGAATGAAGAGAGGGCAGGGCTTTGGCCTGCTTTTGTGAGCAGTAGGGAAGAGGCCCCTTTCCATGCATGCGCAGAATTGATTCTATGGAGGCTTACTGCAGCCTGGGTTTCTCTCTATGGAATAAGTTACTTTCTTTCCTATCTATTTTTTAAAATGGCATAAAATAAATAAATAATATCCAGCAGGAGCGTGTCAGTAGAAATGGCTACGCGTGTCAGTACTGACACGCGTGTCATAGGTTGGCCATCACTGATCTAAGTCATTAATAAAGACGTTGAACAGTACTGGGCCCAGGACAGAACCCTGCAGTATCCCATTAGTCACTTCTTTCCAGGATGAAGATAATCCATTGGTGAGCACCCTTAGAGTTTCGTCACTTAACCAATTACAAATCCACCAAACAACAGTATTATCTACACCCTCCCCCCCCCGCCCCCATTTTACTAGTTTGTTTGTAAGAAGATCAAAGATCATGGAAGACCTTGTCAAAGACTTCACTGAAATCAAAATATGCTACATCCACAGCATTCCCTGCATCTGTCTTCATTTAGGCAATCTTAAGAGTTTGCTAATTCCAAGTTACTCAGCACCATACACAATGCAATGGCTATTTTGATACTATTATCACATGATGTATCTGATTCCAAAAACTAAGCTACACAATTTTAATAGCTGCTCAAAAAAAAAAAAAAGCTGCACTGGCATTTTTTTTAAAGAAGGAGTAGCAGTACAGTGGTTTCCTCACTAGTAGGCATACTGTGTATATCAGCTGAATTTAGCAAAATCAGCTGGAAGCAGAGCATCCCTTGATATAGCTAACATTTTTCATTATGTTTGGTCACCAAATAGATGAATGGGAAAGTAGATAATATTATCATTTTCTTTTGTGAAATATAATGTTTCACACTAAAAGGGTTGTTGGTCTCAAGAACTTATCAAATCAAAAGTGTTCTCAGAAAAGGAATGTTCATGTATTTTATTTTTTAGTTATTTTATTTTTTAGGGCAAACATCACATATATGCGATACATACATACACACAGAGTCCATATATACACATACATTCAGATCTGGACTGCTGGTTTGGAAGAATCTAATTTACTAAAATTTTCAATAAAACTACAGTTTTTAAGGATAATTTGCATTTAGGATTTATTACAGGCAACCCCCAAGTTACGAACAAGATAGGTTCTGTAGATATGTTTCAAAGTTCAATTTGCATGTAAGCTGGAACAGGTACATTTTTAAAGCGAAACTCCAGCTAAATATACACATCTTTTAGTTTTAGATAGCATAGGGAAGGGCTAACAACCCTTTGGTGTTTGTTTTGCTGTTTGTGCCCCTGCTCAGAAGACTTCACCTCACTGTGTCCCTTTTGTGTCCCTGTGATAATTGGATTTTGAAAAATTTGGCTTGTTATGGAAACAAAGATTGGTGACAAAGCTTCAGTGGAGATACAGTGCACTTTGCCCACTTCCCCGGCCCTATGTTTTTCTAATTGGCCCAGCCTTTTTGTGGTTAGAAATAAATAGCTTCAGATCCCACCCTGACCATCAGGTAGGCCATGCTTGTACTTGACCCACTTCCCGGGCCCTAATCTACTTCACCGTACTAGCCCAGCCCTCTCATAGTCGTCGAGGCCCACTTTGGAATCTTGACCATCGGAAGCTGAGCTGCCCAAGGTAATTGGTACTGAACTGGCTTTTAAAATTTTAAATATGCACGATTGTTATATAGTACTATGTTTATACTTTTTATATTGATGTTTTGTGTGTTCTTATTTCAGTAATTGCTATGCTTAACCATGACGGAAACCACTCAGAGTCCCCCCAGGAAGACAGAGTGGTATACAAATAAATGTTTATTATCTTTTTCTCATAATAATTTTTTCAGGAGTGAATTTTCCTTACTAGAAGTAGTTTTCTCTCACTTCCTGTTGTCTCACTCCCATTCTTAACTATGGGTTGTTTGTAAGTCAGATGTTTGTAATTTGGGGACTGCCTGTAATATGTCTATTCTTAGTCTGAAGTACACATTTGCAATTAAATTCTTTTGTGTTGTAAGAGACAGAAATAGAGTCATGCTTCAATGCTACCCTGGGCTTGCTGAAATTAGCTGTCATCCCATGGCTGTTTGCTTAGAAAAACTTAATGTTCTTTGCAATTGCACATTTTGGGAAAGACTGATCAAATTTTCATAGCAACAGCATGATCATGTTTTGGATAACAGAGGTAGAAAATGCTGGTTTAAATAAAATAGCAGTTGCCTTTCTCATTTACTGAGCATATTTCTATGGGCCCTTCCACGCAGCCATATAACCCAGAATATCATGGCAGACAGTCCATAATATTTGCTTTCTGCAGTTCAAGATCTGCCTTAAATAGATTATTGACTGTATATACTGAGTCCCAAGTGGGTCATGCTCATTAAAGGGATAAATATCCAATACTAACACATAGTTCTGCAATGTGAAACTGATATTTTGTTCTATTTGGACTCCATTCCATTGATCTATCCTTCTTTTATTTTCCTTTTCCTTTTACCGGGCACTTCCCCTGGGGACCTGTATCCCTGGTACGTTTTCTAACTGAGTTATCTGAGTCCACACTGCCATAGAATCCATTTCAACGTGGATTTTATACAGCAGTGTGGAAGGGGCCTATGATCAACTAATTTGGTTACAATTAGTACAACTTTGGATAATTATTCTAGAACCTTTGAAAACCCCAAGATTCATACTAGATAAAGAGACAAATGATTTATTGCTTTATGTACTGAAATACTGTCATTAAGGTGGATCAAGAACAAGTTTGGCTCTATACAGTAGAACCAATACAGTTTGATACTGCTTTGATTGCCATAACTTAATACTATTGCATTTTGGAATTTGTATTTTGGTAACACACTGGCGTTCTTTTTCTCTTCCTTAGCAGAGAAAAGTGATGACCTTGTAAAACTACAACTCTCTTTATTCCACAGCATTGAGCCATGGAATTAAAGAGATATCAAACTGCATTTATTCTACAGTGTAGAAGCACCTCAAATTACTTGAAGATGAATCTAATTAAAATCAGTAAGACAAGTTAGTTGTGATTTACATTCAAGTTAGTCTGAATCACACCCACTTTCCTCACTATGTAGTTTAGGATTCCTATTTCCCAGTCTCAAGACTTCTAGGATCACTCATTTTTCTCTTCTTTAAAACACAAATGATTACACCTACAAGAGCACAGAGAACAATGAAAGAACATGTTGTTATTGCAACAATGGTAACAATTTTGCTATATTCATTATTAGAGGGGGGTTGAAGAAACTCAGAAACAAACATAGTCGCTATTGCGATATTAGATGCTTCTCCAAAATTATTGCTGTCATCAATAGCACGAATGGCAAAGTAGATGGAGGTGCCATTTTCTTTTGTGAAGTTTTCTGCCTTATACTGAAAAGATTGTTTGGTCCCAGCAACCTCAGGTATCAGGGCAGATGTATTCAGAGATATGGCACTATGAAAATTCGTCTCTCTTAGTTCCAGAGGATCGATGCTCATTTTTATTTCATATCTTTCAGCTGAAAAATAAGCAGTAGGGAACACAATTGGATTAGCATGTTTCTAAAGTAAGAGTGATAACAGGGGCACCTCAAGATACCTGCATTGCATCTAGTTACATCTGTTTCTAGAAATGTTTATTCTGGTAACCTTAATGTGTGTTACATTACAGAGAGGTTTCTCTTTAAAGTGTTAAGAAAATATAGAGTATTGTTTAGAATCAGTTACAGGGAGCACATGATGACCCTGTGGTTATATCAATTCCAAGGACCTCATCACATGGATGTTTCCTCCGTGCTCTCTACATTTTTGCATGCTGGCAAAATGGGTTCCCACTGTTGTGGTTCAGGCAGCTGAGGATGATGATGAGGGTTTGGGGGTACAGGGCCTGCAGGGCCTGATGCTTCTGGAGGTGCTCAGACAGATGGGATGTTGGAACAGGATGGTGATTCCCTCATTGGGAGAACGGAGGGAGATTTGGTTGATTCTCTGTGTGAAAACAAATGTTGTAGAAGCTGACAGGCAGAGAAGGGAGGAAGTGGGGTTGGACAGAGAATCAAGGATGCTCCTGGAGGAGAAGAATTCCAGGTGCAAGCCAAGCCATGGAAAAGGGAGGCCAAGAGAGACTCCTCAAGGCCAACAGAATGCTTTCATGCATTGCTGTCCTTAATTAGGGAAAGAATAGCTCTCAGGTCTCAGATCAAGCAGCGTAGCAAATAGAGCAAGAAGCTCCTGCCTTGTTCCTGGTCCTATCTTAGTTTCAAGCCAAATTTCCTAGTCAAGTTTTGCTACCAGTCTTGAGGATTTTACCATGGACTCAAGCTCATGTTTTGTTCTTTGTTTCTTGGACTACTCAAGCTCATGCTTTATTCCTTGTCTGTTGGATTAATCAAGCTCATGTTTGTTCCATGCACCTTGGATTAATGTTCATGCTTTAACCTTTGCATTGGAGATTTATCTCTGACTTTTGGGACTCCTATCCTTACATATTTGGATTTTTTACTCTTTTACTGTGTGTGCATTATCAATAAACTATTGCTTTGCTTGGCTTCCTGGTGAGTGCTTGAGAAAGGTGAACTCTAACTGAGGTGCAACACTCACAGAGGTCATCTTATGATGCACAGCCAGTTCCAGTGACTTCCTGTGGTACTCCGTCTTGTTGCATGCTACAAATGAGAGACCCTGGCTCTCAGAAACCCTAGCAAGATATGGTATCGCCATATCTTGACAGGAGACTTGAAGGCAAATGCACACATAATGTAATATTATTTTGGAGTATTTATTTATTTGTCGTGTCAGGGGACATGAGAGAAGCCTCCTCGCAGGATTGCAAGACATCCGGGCGTCCCCTGGGCAACGTCTTCGAAGATGGCTGATTCTCTCGCCACAGAAGCGAGTATTAAAAGGAGATAATTGTCTTATGTCTTATGTCTTCTCCTTTCTCCTCCTTTACATAGAAAAGATGTTTTATATCTCTAATGAAATGATAACCTTTCTCCAAAGTAGAATTTCTCACCTTTTCCTACATCAAAATCATTCCCAGGAGCTGTCCAGAAAAAATGGAATTCCTCTTCCTTAGTAAGTTCAACCTTAAGGTCAGTGATTTTACAAGGGGGAAAGACATCTGGGATATTTCCAGCTGGAACGTCTGTCATTAGAAAAGAACCTCCTGATGCAATCCTGCTGAAATTTTCCACATTTCCTTGCGTTTCATTCTCATTAGGTTGAGGTTTCGGTGGATTCATTTTTATTTCACCTATGGAAAAGCATCATTTAGAAGTCCTATCAGAATAAGTGATCATACTAATTCTATGATGACACCATAAATCAACCAATTAGCACCACACATTGTGACATAAAATTGTGTAAATAATATTGCATATTACAGATGGTTGTTAACTAGCCAAAGAAAGGCAAGATGATCGAGACAGTGCGACAGTGGATTTTAATATCAAAATAAATGTTTTCAATGCTTATGTATGTGTAGAATTTATTTATGCACCGGCACTGAATGTTTGCCGTTTGTATGTTGTGCTCCGCCCTGAGTCCCCTTTAGGGTGAGAAGGGCGGAATATAAATGGTTTAAATAATAAATAAATAAATAAATAAATAATTCTAGATTAGACTGACCAATGGAAACAGAAGAGTATATGCATTAAGAAAACCAAGGAATGGGTTCCCTTAATATTATTTTAAAACTTTATGACAAAGAAATTGTTTCATTATTTCTAAAGATATCTAAACACATGCACCAATGCTAATGAAAATGTACAGGGTGAAATCAACCTTGGAAACTATGAATGAAGGCACTGGGCAAACCTGTTTGGTGTCTGTCAATCACACCTCAGGGTTGTCCAGTTCTTCCCTTCAAAGACAAAACCATATGTATATATACTAGAGCATGTTTAAATGAGATTGTCCTTAAAAGTATTACACAAGTCAGGATATTGTAATTACAGCAGGATAATATAGTCCTTGGCTGGGATTTATTCCATGATGTTCCTTTTTGTTGTTCTGCTGATGGGAAACTGTTTTGCAAACATAAATAATCCATTAATGGCTTACTTTTATAAAAGAAACTCTTTCCAAAAGTCTCCCTCCATGAGAACAACAGAAGAAGAACAATGTCATATGAAAAGTTCAACTATTACTGTACTGTAATTGCAGTTTCCCTGCCTTTGTGATAAAGTCCTTAGTCTGCTTGTCTCTTCATAAACGCAAGGAAATAAATTTTCTGAAGGTATATATTTCACATTTTGTGAATTAATATTTCTCTTCTCTATATCTGTTGCATTTTTTCTTAAACATAATGTTATTTCATAGATACTTACCAGCTTCTATAAAACCTGGTATGTAGAGAGTATGACTGTGTCTGCGAGTCCGCTTGGCAGTCTCGTCTTTCCCTTGGACGCTCACTTTGATGTTGTGTCTACCATTTTCTTTGAAAGCTGTGAAATATCTTGAATAGATTCCATCATTTCTGAGAATATCAGCACCTGAGTTGATATACATAAGTACAGTATTTGAAATTAACATCTAAAGCAAGTTTCGTGTTGCCGCTAATTTCCAATAAAACACACAGAAAGTATATGTTAGAGACATTTACCTCAACAGCTAACCCTGTTATCATGGAAATAGATGAATACCAGATTCTGATCAAATGGATCCATCAGCAAACTATTGTATAATTGTGATAGTGTTAATTTTCACAGTATGAATCAGAGATGCAAGATGTGTGACATCCTAAACAAAATGTAGTCCATTACCATGTTATACGATTTGCTTGAAGTGTGCTTAATAAGCCCCAAATTGTCTCCAAATTCTAAAATCCAACAGCTACTCATGTTTAGGGACGTATCTACACAATAGAATTTATGCAGTTCTACATCTCTTTAACTGCTATGACTCAATACAATGGAATCCTTGGACTCATAATTTGGTGATGTGCTAGCACTCTTTAGCAGAAAAGGCTAAAGACCTTGTAAAACTACAACACCAATGATTCCATAGCATCGAGCCATGGCAGTTAAAGTGATATCAAATGGCATTAATTTTACAGTGTAGATGCAACCTAGGATGCAGCATTCAGCATGATATCTCATACCCTTCAATATCTTGCAGGTTAAAATATGGAGGATCTTGTTCTTTAGTGGGTGGAGATGAGGTAGAGTTCAGCATACCAACACAGCAACATATATATGTCCCTCCCATTGGAGTTTCCCTACATATATAACATGTGTAGCCCTCCAATCCATTTGTAACAGGAGAAAAGAATCTCTCCTAACACATAACAGTGCTGTCATAGTTTGGGGTGCTCCCATGCTGCTACTTGTAAAAGAAATCTTGTACACAAAATATTTAAAAAGCATCATATCTTGATATACACACAGAGAAATTCTAAATTGTATAATATGATAAATACTTCAAAATAAACTTACCAGAGCCATTATCAAGGAGTTCTACCTCAGTAGATACTCCAGATGCTGATTCAACAGTCGCCATAACCTTTGCATCAATAACAGGTGAAAATCCTTGGGTGACTTCAGCATAAATGATGGTGGGATTAGGAAACTTGTTAGTATCTCTGCTCATATAGGACTTCACAGTTACTGGGGGCACAGTTGCAGATGCTGCTCGGCTGGTGACTGTTATTGAAAGGACTTGAGCCGCAGACTCAGTATTCTGAATTGAATAAGTCCAGTCTCCTGCCTGCAAATTAAACGACATCTTTAGGGTTTCTAAAAGCAAATGGATGTCTTCCACTTTCACAATCTATCATCCTATTTTGAATACAAGAAGATTAAGTGCTCACACTTTCTCCCTTTCTCTGCAAATTTGTTTTGCTCCATTGTTTTGCTCCACTCCAGGCATAGTCTTGAAGGCTGCAATGTTCAATATATAGCAAGGAAATAAAGCACAGATTTTACCTCTGCCGTTCCAGGAATCTTAAGCCGAGCTGTTTGAAGGTTGGTTTTCTCAATTACAAAATCTGCGGTAGTGTAATTTTTTCCTCTAGGATTTGTCAGATAAATTTTTGGTGGATGCATGCTCACACTCCATGTAATGACAAAGAAAGTGTCATTTCCCACAGTTTTATCTATGGATACAGTGCCATACATCCAGTGCCTGGGACCAATACTTTCTCCTTTACTTTCAATCTGTTAGGGGAAAAAATTAAAAAGTATTTGATGTAATATAAAATGAACATTAACATAGTGAACATTTGATTTCATTGGACACCATTTTTTTTCCTTTCTCAGATAGTGGTGGTTTGAATGTTGGGTTTCAACTCAGGAAACTAGGGTCTGAACCCCTGCGAGATCTTGGGAAAGTATTGCTCTGAGTCTCAGAGGAAGGCAATGGCAAAATGCTCTCTGAATAAATCTTGCCAAGAAAACACAATAGGTTCACCTTAAGCTTGCCAAAAGTTGCAAATGACTTGAAGGTACACAACAACCACAATGACAACCTCCCACATAATATCTTCTCTATCTTAATAACAGATGTCTCAGAAGAGATGCCAATTTTAAATTCAATTTGTTTTGGTTTTGTCCAGAAATAGAATTTACATTACAGGACAAATGAGCAGCATTTTTCCTATTCCTGCCTCAAAGTGTAGTGTTCATCCTGACAGACAAAAATAAACAGATATGAGCTGGTATGTCCATGAGGAGCTATGAGCATTTCTCAATTGATCAGTTATCTTGAAAGGAGAGTAAATCAGCTCCATGGCAGTGAAAGGGCACACAGAGCTAATTCAGATTAACTCAGCCTTGAACTGCATTAGCCAAAATTGTGGGTTTCACCCAATTCTTCCCAAGAATGTAAAGCAAACTGTGACTTTAGGACCATATAAGTAATTGGGCCAGTTTGATTATATGGCTCCCAGACTCAGGCAGCCCAGAGTTATGCAATTTGACTCTCTGGGTTGTCCCTGGGATAAAGTGTCCATGCAGAAATGCCCACCAATTTACTGTCCCATTGTATATAATGGGACTTGAGCAGCCATGGATTTTCGTATCCATGGACTTTCCAGGAACTGAACCACAGTAGATATCAAGAGCCCATTGTTTATACAAGAAAGGAAACCATCTCTAACTAAATGCAATCAGTGATTACAAATTAGATAATGAAACTGGAAGGCCCACAAAGAAAATAAAAGCAATTGTGTAATGAGAGATTTCTGACTATATTGGTTGAGACAGTGTTAATCCTTAATCAGGACTTCTGTCTCTTAATTTTGGCAAATACCAGCCATTGAGACAGGATTGGACTTCTGACACAGAAGAAGGTGGTTTTTAATGTTTTTCCACCATACTGTTTTCCCAATGCATACCTTTCCCGGATTTGCTATTTTCTAGGGAAAACAGAAACTTGTATAGCCCATTTACACATGAAATTAGCTTTCAAATAATACAAATTTTTACAATGTTGTTTCAGCTCTATCTGAAGGATACACTCTATCCTTCTCTTTCTCCTCTATGAATTTCTCACTACTTTATTCTTGTATAGCAAAAGCAAAACATGGGTTGTATAATTGATTTCACTGTGTATGCTTTTATAATTTTGTTGAGAGCTCATTCATATTTGATAGAACAGTGCTTATTGTAAATCTTTCCTCGAATCTCCCCACAGGCTGGCTGAGAAATTCTGGGTGCTGTTGTCAAAAAAGGTAATTTTTCAAGATGGTCCTATCACTGAATCATCAGCTCCTGTTTCATCTCAGTTCTTCACAGTCCAGACCTGAAGACTTTGTAGGTTGATACTCCGGCTTCTTGATGAAATCCCACTGAAAGCATCTACAAGGCTGCTGGAATCCACACTGTCAGTGGCAGAAAATTTCAAACCTCCTGAAACATAATTGGCAGAATAATTGGAATAATCTACCAGCAGGACTCAAATGTCACATATATTTCTCATGTGCCTTGTTCTAGGACAAAGGAGACAAAAATTCAATCCTATGTATTTCAAATATCCCCTACATTTGTTTTAGCCCAAAACATGTTCAAGAATTATAAGAGTGATCTTAGTTGCAATTTTGACCCTTCTGTATCTCCCAGGCAGTGTAGTATTTCATTTCTCGATGTAATACTTTTCTTTAAAGTGAGAATGGGGAAGATGGCAGGGGTAGGCATTGCAGCCCTTTTTTAATGTATTTTATTTTCATCTGCTTTTCTTTTCAAAACAGATCTTGGCAGGCCCGTAGCCAGGATTTTGTTTCGGGGGGAGCTGAGTTTGATTCGGGGGGGGGGGGCTGAGTCTGAGTGAAAGAGGGTCTACCCTAGCAAACCTTTTGTATCGTTACCCCAATACCCCCATGCATATGGGATATATTGAGCATGGTGATCAGATCATGATATGAATAAACATAACAGTTTAAATAATGTACCAGTAAGGCCTTCTCGCGGACCACCATGAGAATTTCAGGGGGGGCTGAAGCCACCCAAGCCCCCCGATCAGCTAGTAAATTAAATTTAATTGAAACAGGCAATCAAATGCTGGTCCAAAACTAATTTTCAACACCCCATCCCCTTGAAATTTACAAGCAGTTCCTTGCTGTAATTTTGTTGGTGTTATATTTGGTTTTGATAACCAGCATCTATATGAAACAGACAGACACTTCATTTAATTGTCATGTTTGCAAATCCTGGTTTCATGGGCTGAACAAATAGCAGGGGAGATTGTGTAAATAAGAATAGCTTGGTGAAGCTGAGATTTGCAACAACCACCCTTTTTTCCAGTGGCTGAGTGCTGGTTTGTACTGCAGATGACAGCAACTGCTTATTCCAATTATTGCCTTACCTGTCATGTCTGCCAACATTTCTAGTTCTTTTGCTGCACTTGGCCCCAAAGCAATGGTGTGGATTACAGATCCACTTCTTCGAACTTCAGCAAAGCAAGAGCTTACACTTGAATCTTCTCCGTCAGTTAAGAGCACGATTTCACAGCCTTCTGTATTTGCATATTTATGTAAAAATACCTAGGTGAAAAGAATATTTAAAATTGTAGCAACCATGTTAAAAGAACTTATGCTGAAGGTCCACAAAGGTCCCTGTAATTAAAGCATAAGATATAAACCTTCTGCAAAACTGTAGAAGGAAAAAAAATGTGTGAAATCATTTTTGACATTTTACAGACACAAAGTTAGTTGAGATGGATGCTATATCCATTTGAAACAACATACATAATTGATTAAGGAAGAATAATATGTGCTGCTTCTTATGTTTATAGTTAGAGACTCAAAAGCTGGATGGCACACCTACTACATCAAGACCAGCATGATAAGACAAGATGATCCTTAGATTTTCTTTGTCTTTAATATTCTTTCTGTATTTTTTCTATGTATTTTTCTCATCTATTGAATTTGCCTGTTCATTGTTGACTTCAATAGAAATAGCTTTCGCAATTGCAAGATGGTTCAATAGAAATTAATGACATGTGGTGTTCAACAGTGCAGAAGTCTCTATTCAAACTAGTTCTGCCTAAAACCAAATGGGAGTATTATTTTCAATTAATTTAACATTTTTTCTGTAAAATCAACATACTGTCCATTCATTACACACTACACATATTTCAGTGGTGTAGTCATTTGAATGGTGGACTAGAACAAAGTGATTGATTAGGGTTCAAGTCAATGCTTGGCCATGAAAACTCAATGATTTTGAGCAAATATGGGGGGGAATTCTTAGAATATATATATTTGTCAAAGAAAAAAAGGAATAAAACCAAATCAACATATATTAGCATTTTGGAGAATAGGTCAGTATAAGAATTATTTATTTATTTATTTATTTTATTTATTTATACCCCGCCTTTCTCACCCCATAGGGGGACTCAAGGCGGCTTACAACTCCGGCAAGATTCAATGCCGTTTAATACCTAATCATAAAACATATTTTGTCAACTAATAAGCAAATAAACACATAGAATAATAACAGATTAAAAACATAAAAAGTGCATGATACATTCATTCATAATCCTTGCTCATAATCCTTATTCAGACTTTGTCGAAAACGTAATAGCTTATTCTTCAAACGCTTGTTTACAAAGCCATGTCTTTAACGTTTTCTGAATACCAGAAGAGACAGGGCCTGCCTGATGTCAATGGGGAGGGAATTCCACAGTTGGAGAGCCACCACTGAGAAGGCCCTGTCTCTCGTTCCCACCAATAAGCACTTACAAAGGGGGTGGGACCAAGAGCAGGGCCTCCCCAGCTGATCTTAAAGCTCTTGTTAATATTAAGGATTAAAACATATCACATGGGTTGTTTGATGCACATAGAGATTAAATGTATAAAAATATAAGTTATTGTTTAATTGATTTATTCTATGTTTTGTTAGCTGTTGATGGTAGTTGTGTGTGATTTGTATGATTTATTTATTTTGAATAAATAATAATAATAATAAACTCAGGACACACTCTCTCATGTACAGAGGAAGACAATGGCAAATCTCTTCTGAACAAAAGTTACCGCCCCCACCCCCATGATAGTGTCACCTAAGGGCACGCATGTCAAATGCAAAGCTGGTGGGCTGAATCCAGCCCCACATCATTTTATGTAGCACGCAAAGCTTTCAAGGACAGAGCAACATTAGTTACATTTATACATTCTTACAATTACAACCAGCCTTTTGAATGCAACTATAAAGCTGATGTAGCCCTCAATGAAAATTAGTTTGACACTCCTGACTTAGTGGTCATCATTAAGCAACAATTTGAAGGCAAACAAAAACAACCACACATTTTTTCTTACTTTTAAGAATCCATACCCCAAAATATGGGAATGGGGGATCTTGTTCACACTATATAAAAGGAAAAAACTTTCAAACTCTCAAATAGGGGTGTCCCCAATAATAAGAAACCTCTGTCACTCTTTTGCAGCTCTTGAATAAGAGACATTATTTTATCATAAGGAACATCTGTCAATCTTAGATGGCTGTCACATTCTTTTCAGTGAATGCTCTGTACAAACAAGCTTAGATGTGTTTATAGAGCAGTGTTCTCGATTTAGCAGTAATAGATCTCAGCACTGTTAAAGAAATAAGTAAGAAGTAAGTAGAAATAAACATACCGTATATTCTGGGGTACAAGACAACTTTCTAAGCCTGGAAAATCATCTCAAAAGTGCGGAGTCGTCTTGTACCCCGGCATAATTTTTTTTGGATCATTTTTCCCTCGTGTCCCTCACCCTTGGCATCCCCGCGTGGTGGAGCCTGAGGAGGGAGGGCGGAGGGGGGGAGGGAGGGGGCGAGGAGGAGGAGCGGCAGGCTTCGCTACCAAGCTGGCAGCATGGTAGCCTACTGGGCTGTCGTCATCCTCGCCGGCATTGAGTTGGCTCCGTCTCCGCCCTCTAATCCCAAAAAAGGTGCTGCAGGAGCCAAAGCCGGAGGGGTGGGGGCGGGGCCTCTGGCTACTCCGGCCCCACCCCCCACGGAGGGTCCCCCCCCGGTCCCCCCCCACCGCTCCGTCTTCAACTCCTGCTGCTTTACCAGGCCGGCGGGGGTGTTTGCATGCTATGCTGTGCTGTCCCCTCCGCCACTGGTCTGCTGCTAGCTCCGCCTCTGGCCTCAAAGCCAGAGCAACTGCCGAGGGAACAAAACCCAGAGCAGGGAGGCAGTGGGAGAAGAGGACCCCGCCCCTCGCGGCCCCGCCCACGCTCCGGTTTTGGTTCCCTCGGCAATTGCTCTGAACTTTGAGGCCAGAGGCAGAGCTAGCAGCAGACCAGTTGCGGAGGGGACAGCACAGCATAGTATGCAAACACCCCCGCCGGCCTGATAAAGCAGCAGGAGTTGAAGCTGGAGCGGGGGGGCGGAACCGGGGGGCGGGGCCCTCTGCGGGGGCGGGGCGGAGCAGCCAGAGGCCCCGCCCCTCTGGCTTTGGCTCCCTCCTGCAGCAGCTACACTGAGATGGAGGGCGGAGGCGGACCCAACTCAATGCCTGCGAAGGTGAAGACAGCCCAGTAGGCTACCATGCTGCCAGATCGGTAGCAAAGCCTGCCGCTGCTCCTCCTCGCCCCCTCCCTCCCTCCGCCCTCCCTATGACTTCCTCTCACTTATTTACACAGGGTTTCATCATGTCTCCTCTCAGCCTTCTCTTCTTCAAGCTAAACATACCCAGCTCTTTAAGCCACTCCTCATAGGGCTTGTTCTCCAGACCCTTGATCTGCTCTCTCCTCTCTATGATCCCCCTTACATCTCACATATTGATATATGGCTATCATGTCTCCTCTCAGCCTTCTCTTCTTCAGGCTAAACATGCCCAGCTGTTTAAGCCTCCTCATAGGGCTTGTTCTCCAGACCCTTGATCTGCTCTCTCCTCCCTATGACTTCTTCTCACATATTTATACATGGCTCTCATCATGTCTCCTCTCAGCCTTCTCTTCTTCAGACTAAACATACCCAGCTCTTTAAGCCGCTCCTCATACGGCTTGTTCTCTAGACCCTTTATGCTCTCTCCTCCCTATGACTTCCTCTCACATATTTATACATGGCTCTCATCATGTCTCCTCTCAGCCTTCTCTTCTTCAGCTAAACATGCCCAGCTCTTTAAGCCACTCCTCATAGGGCTTGATCTCCAGACCCTTGACCTGCTCTCTCCTCCCTATGACTTCTTCTCACATATTTATACATAGCTCTCATCATGTATCCTCTCAGCCTTCTCTTCTTCAGGCTAAACATGCCCAGCTCTTTAAGCCACTCCTCATAGGGCTTGATCTCCACACCCTTGACCTGCTCTCTCCCTATGACTTCCTCTCACATATTTATACATGGCTCTCATCATATCTCCTCTCAGCCTTCTCTTCTTCAGGCTAAACATGCCCAGCTCCTTAAGCCGCTCCTCATAGGGCTTGTTCTCCAGACCCTTGATCTGCTCCCTCCTCCCTATGGCTTCTCTCACATATTTATACATGGCTCTCATCATATCTCCTCTCAGCCTTCTCTTCTTCAGGCTAAACATGCCCAGCTCCTTAAGCCGCTCCTCATAGGGCTTGTTCTCCAGACCCTTGATCATTTTAGTCACCCTCCTCTGGACACATTCCAGCTTGTCAACATCTCTCTTCAATTGTGGTGCCCAGAATTGTGGACCAGTATTCCAGGTGTGGTCTGACCAAGGCAGAATAGAGGAGGAGCATGACTTCCCGGGATCTAGACACTATACTATTTATGCAGGTCAAAATCCCATTGGCTTTTTAGCCACCACATGACATTGTTGCCTCGTGGACTTGTCCACAAGGACTCCCAAGATCTTTTTCACACATACCGCTCTCGAGCCACACGTCCCCCATCCTGTATCTTTGCATTTCATTTTTGACAGAAGTCAAACTGGAAAGCTCTTATTGACCCAGGGCCCCCCTTCCTCTTTTCTGATCTCTTTTCCCCTTCTAACAATTAAACATCACCTGGCTGTGTCCTTGAGAAAGTCTAAAACAATTCAAGCTGTCACGGTGATTTAAGGATGAAGACATGTCAAGATGTGACCCAGTAAACATGTGCCATGCCAAATGCTACATTTCTGAAGGATGAGGGTCCAATCTGCCCCTCTCTTCTGATAGGAGGTCCTGATTTATAAAGACTGCTTATAGATAAAAATTCTACAAATGCTTTGCCTTCACCTCAGTACTCATAGTACAAAGCCTGACTTCTATTTGCATGCAAGCTTCTATGCCAACATACATGTAATCTGAACCATTTAAAGCCTGCTTTCATACTTGCCAGCATGATGTAAAGGACCCAGAGTGTAAATGAAATTCAAGGGAGGAAGAGCAACTATAATGTCCAATGTAAGGTACAATGTCCCTCTCATAGGAACCTGCATGTCATAAGCATTTGAATTAAAATTACCATATTGAATTCAAATCTGATTTTTTAAAAATTTTATTTGGTGTGCATTGGAAGAGGGGTGGTCTTATACGGCGAGTATATCCCAAACTCTATATTTTAACTGGAAAAGTTGGGGGTCGTCTTATACGCCCAGTCGTCTTATATGCCGGAATATACGGTATTTAGATTTTCCCCTCCTACCTGAAATCCTTTTTGTACTCCAGCACATATATTAGTTCCTCCATTTGCACTAATAGGGAGATAGCCATTAAGAGTTTTGCGCACAGAATCGCTGACAACCTGTCGCAAACCAGTCTGAATTGTTGCCTCATTATTGAATGTGACAATTCCAACCCAGGAACCATCTTCAACAGTCTGTAGGAGGAATGTTTCTGCAGCTTGTTTCAGCCGAGCAATGCGATTATACTGCATTTAAAGTGAGAGGAAGAGAGGACAGAGGGAAGCAGAATTGTCAATGCATTTCAGGAAATACAAAAATGAAACTAAAAATTAGAATTACTTAAAGAATTCTATTTTCATGAAAAAAACTCAGGATAATTTTCTGTTAAAATATAAATACAGTCATGAAATATATGATTGTCCTGAAAAATTTATCTGCATTACGATCTAGAGTGCAGCGCATCTGGGAGCTTTCCTATTTGTGCTGAATTGATATTAATTGGAGGTACATGCCAGAAGGCGCATCTGTATACTGTAGAATTACTGCAGTTTGACAGAACTGCCATGGCTCAATGCTGTGAAAGAATGAGATTTGTATTTTTGTCAGTCTTTTTTTAATAAAAGGTTTATCAGAGGCCCCCAGTGGCAGAATGGGTTAAACTCTTGTGCTGGTAGGACTGGTCAACTGACAGGTTGGCTGTTCGAATCTGGGGTGCGAGGTAAGCTCCCGTCTGTCGAGCTCTAGCTTCTCATGTGGGGACATGAGAGAAGCCTCTCTCAAGATGGTAAAACATCAATCATGTGGGCATCCTCTGGGTAACATCCTTACAGATGGCCAATTCTCTCACACCAGAAGCAACTTGCAGTTTCTCAAGTCACTTCTGATGTGAAAAAAAGAGGCTTCCAAAAATATCCCAATCAACCTAGAGAGCTTATTCATTTCTACTAATCTATTCGGTTTTAAAAACCATTCTTCCACCATAGGTAATACAAAGGACTTTACATTTGTGGGTTCAACCATCTTTAGCTTGAAAATAATCAAACAAATTTCCAAACAGCAAATATTGATTTTGCCATTTTACATTAGGGGTACCATTTTATTATAGCAGGTTTTGAACATATTATGGATTTTGGTATCCATGGTGGATCCTCAAAAGAAATCTTAGCAGAAACCAAGGGCCCATCTATGGTGCTAAATTTTTCTAACTCTAATCATATAATCATATAATCATGCTGGGGAAAGTGGAAGGCAAAAGGAAGAGGGGCCGACCAAGGGCAAGATGGATGGATGGCATCCTTGAAGTGACTGGACTGACCTTGAAGGAGCTGGGGGTGGTGACGGCCGACAGGGAGCTCTGGCGTGGGCTGGCCCATGAGGTCATGAAGAGTCGGAGATGACTGAACGAATGAACAACAACAACAATCATATAGCAGTCTTGTTGCCCCAATCCCAAGTTGTTTTTCATTGTTTTTTCTCCCTGCAAAAATTTGGCATAAGCTAGGACTTTCCAAGCCAAAGGCAAGAATGGATTTTTCTTTCCTGTTGAGAGGTTACCATGGGCAGGGTAATTTCTTTTATCTGTTCCCTTTATACTTCTGAGTGGTCTGATTACTCCAATGATGAAGAGTTCCATTGGAGAGGACAAGGAGGGTAGCAAACCAATTAATGATACCACAAGCAAAGGTCTGGATGAAAGCTGAACAAATCACCAGTATCAGAAGCAGGGTAGAAACAAATACTATGCAGCCTGCAATAAAGAAACAGAATAATATTATATTTACTCAAACTATTGAGCCCTTGCTTATTACTCAGGAGCTAGCACCAAATCAGAGTAAAATGTACCTCACTGATTGTAAAATCACATGATTTAATACAGAGAAGCTTTCCTGATGTTGACATTTCTATTACCATCAACATTAATTGGGTTATTTTGGAACTATCCTTTTTTTACAGAAAGTTTTCTGCTAAAATGTGAAAGAAAGACTTACCCCAGCCATACTTCCAGAAATATCTAGTACAAGACATACAACCCTTTCCTGCATTTGCAGCAAGGAGATTGTGGGATCAGGTGGAGGAGTGCTTCTTGAAGAAGAACTAGCAAAGTCAGGCGAGTCCATAATGACTTCCCATGTGCTTTTGAAGTCGCACATTTTGTTCTGCAAGTTTGGTGCTCTGACATTATGATTACTCTTGTCACAGAATTGAGTAACCTTAAGAAAAGATAAGAAAAATAGATCAGGGTTGCAAGTTCCTTGGCACTTCCTACTGCCACCCCTATCTTATAAAACAGAGGGGGGCAAAGTCTTCTCTTCAGTGCTCTAAATATGGACACTGGACTCCCTCTACTTCCTGTATCCACAAGGACTTCTGCTTTTTCCGCCAGCCTCAAATAGTTAGTTAAGTCTTGTGGGGCATTGATGGGCCATCATCTCAGCTTGGTTTGGATTTATATGGGCCTATTTTTTCTCCCCGAAACTGGCAATTTAGGGATAGATGCAGGCCCCCAAGGTCCCAAACCTCTGTAATTTATGTACCTTTCAATGCTGATTCAAATAGGGGAAAATTTGGATACATGGAGGGAAAACAGTCAGAGATACTGCGAGATGTTATTCTACCAATACTTGTTTATTTATTTTGAGTATTTATGTCCCACTCTTCAGCCTCTCAGATCAGCATACGCATTGTTAATTTGCCTTCAGGTTTACAATAATTTGTGACATTTGGCAAATGCCTTTAAAGCAGTGGTTCTCAACCTGTGGGTCCCCAGATGTTTTTGCCTTCAACTCCCAGAAATCCTAAAAGCTGGTAAACTGGCTGGGATTTCTGGGAGTTGAAGGCCAAAACACCTGGGGACCCACAGATTGAGAACCACTGCTTTAACGAGCTTGTCTAATTTATCTATTGTCTTGAAACACCACCAAATTTAATCTTCCATTCTATAATCCATATAGCAGCAAATCCAGAATGGCAGTCACAATTCATATGACGTGAATCCCCATTAGGTTTTTATTTTGTTTTTTGAGGGGGAGGGTGAAAACTACAACAACCAAAACTTCAGCTTACATGTCTAGCATCAATTGAGGTTTTCTGGAAATTGTGTTGAAAAATTAATCCAACTTTTGGGAGAGCCTGAGGTCTTCTGTTTTCTGGTAGAAGGAAGAGGGATTTGAGCAGTCTATCAGTTTTGTCACTGTTCATCTCACTGACTGGAATCTGAAATCATTGTGCTCCACTTCCTCTAAAACCTTTCTTATTTCCCAGGATGCACCTGGGATAGCCAGTGGTACATCTTTTTTTTGGAGGGGGGGGGATTGGGAAATGAGGATGGGTATAATTTATAGCAAGCTACAACGCTGTCATTTCTGTGCTGCCCCCAAAATGTACAGGTCTTTTACTTGAGGCAAGAGACGCTTGCTATGGCTTTAGTGTAATGGTGAGATTACAGCATGCTGAAGGAAATAGGAACTGGTAGACAGAGTTCAAAAACAGAAAGAGATCAAAGGACTAAATAAAAATGATAAAAATGAGTGGAGTATCAGCTGACAAAGAACAGAACTGCTGAAATAAATTGGGATGAAAATTAAATAGCTGGAAGAGAAGACGAACAGCTTGGAAAATGAAGAAATAAGAGGAATGAGGAAAGACAATTATGGCTTGATATTGGAGTTATTGCAGAACTAAACTTCACTTTTGGGTGCCCCCGGTGGCACAGTGGGTTAAAGCGCTGAGCTGCTGAACTTGCTGACCAAGGGCTGCAGGTTCGAATCCGGGGAGCGGTGTGAACTCCTGCTGTTAGCCCCAGCTTCTGCCAACCTAGCAGTTCGAAAACATGCAAACCTTCTGGTGGGAAGGTAACAGCGCTCCATGCAGGCATGCCAGCCACATGACCTTAGAGGGTATGGACAACGCCGACTCTTCCCCTTAGAAATGGAGATGAGCATCAACCCTCAGAGTCAGACACGACTGGACTTAATGTCAGGGGAAAACCTTTACCTTTACTAAACTTCAGTTTCCTGAAATATTCAATTTGGCAAAACTTAAACTGACATTTTTTCAGATGGACATACAATAAATTAAAACATTTAACCTCCTCTTTTTCTTAACTTATACTTACTGAGGGGAGAGCTTGCATGTACATTATAGATACTGAAGTAGTTTGATCTTTGTCTGGAAGGAACAAACATTCAGATTCATAGAGATGGTTGTGTTGTTGCACTTCACATTTTCTGGTACTTCCTGATTTAGTTTGAAATACATACTGACCAGTGATATTCAATGAGCATCTAAACAATATTAAAAACAAATAGTTGGTCAGTTAAGAAATCAAGAAATAATAAATACCCTGTCATATAACTTCTGCTAAAATGGCATTCATTTCTAACTGACATGCTGGATAACCCTTGCTAGACAAACATAACGCTCCTAAAACATTAAAAATGTCAGATTGAAGAGTTCTTTGCAGATGGAATGATTCGGTTATGAAGATTTTATGCAGAAGTTGTGAATAACCTCCTACAAAAAAAAGTCCTAATGCATTTATCAGTGTTATCAGCAAAGATCCTGGATGCAATGCTACCAATTATGTTTATCTGAACTGGTTGCAAATTATGCACTGTTATATAAAATGGTATATAAGTTGATGGAAGGTTTTTGTGATAAGTATGAAATTTGAGTGATTCCATAAAGAGGGGAAGCGCCAATGTTGTCTTAGGGAGGAATTTCCCCTCAGCCACTACTACTATTTTCCCACCAAAGGCATTCAAAATTGCTAGAAGTGGTGCCAGTGAGAAGACAGTATTTGGGGGTAATTATTTTCTTTCGGTTTTCCCGGTGCAGACTAAGCGTTTACTTTTCAACACGCTGCTCAGGGAATCGATCAGCTTATAAGGTAGCCTTGAAAGTAAAATATCTAGGATTATGGATAACCAACAAAAATAACAACTTATTTCAAAATAATTATGGAAAAAAACATGGAAGGAGATTAAAGAAAATGTGGAAAGATGGCAAAGAATTTAATTAACTTGGATGGGGAGAATAGTGGTGATAAAAATGATGCTCTAACCAAGTGTTTCTCAACCTTCCTAATGCCGTGACCCCTCAATACAGTTCCTTATGTTGTGGTGACCCCCAACCATACAATTATTTTTGTTGCTACTTCACAAACGTAAGTTTGCTACTGTTATGAATCATAATGTAAATACCAGATATGCAGGATGTATTTTCATTCACTGGACTATATTTGTCACAAATGCACTCAAATTTGAATATTGGTGGGGTTGGGAGGATTGATTTTGGGAGTTGCAGTTACTGGGATTTATAGTTCACCTACAATCAGAGAGCATTCTGAACTCCACTAACGATGGAATTGAACCAAACTTGGCACAGAGAAAACACTGGAAGGGTTTGGTGGGCATTGACCTTGAGTTTTGGAGTTGTAGTTTACCTACCTCCAGAGAACACTGTGGATTCAAACAATGATGGATCTAGAGCAAACTTGGCATGAATACTCAATATTTCCAAATGTGAACACTGGTGGAGTTTGGGGAAAATAGACCTTGACGTTTGGGAGTTGTAGTTGCTGGGATTTATAGTTCACCCACAATCAAAGAACATTCTGAACCCCACCAATGATAGAATTGGTCCAAACTTCCCACACAGAACCCCACATGACCAACAGACAATACTGTGTTTTCTGATGGTCTTTGGTGACCCCTCTGACACCCCCTCCAGGGGTCCCGACCCCCAGGTTGAGAAACACTGCTCTAACCCAAAATGCTGTTTTTATTCCAAAATCTACTATAATGAAATGAGTGAGAATTTTTGAACATTTGAGAAAGGATTTGACCAAATGTATATGGAATGGGGAAAAAGCTAGGATTGCTTACAAAAACCTAATTGATGCCAAAGAGAAAGCGGCCTTAGCATTGCCATACCCTAGGTATTATTACAAAGCAGTAAGCTTTAGCAGGCTTAAGGAGTGGGTAAGATCAGAAAACCGAGCCTTGTTCAACTTAGAGAGGTATAACCTAAGATTTGGTTGGCATGCGTATTTATGTTATGGAAAAGATAGAATTAATAAAGATTATAAGGTGAGGATGGAACAGAAACCTCCATTATGGCCACGCCCTCTGGAAGCACCATAAATTCATTTTTTAATCAGAAAATAAGAACCTATAGGGAGTACTTAATTTAAAAAAGAGCACTGGAAACTTAAAGGAAGAGAAGAGTTGGTTTTGCTATCACCAATTATATGATGGATTTTAAAAAGATAGTAAAGTAGGATTTGCTAAAGAAAATTGGAATTGGGGAATATTTTAGAGAATAGGAATAAGGGATTAATTTCCAGATTATATAGGTACATATTAGAGTGCAGCCTAGAACTTAGTCAAATAAGGGAAAATGTTGAGTTAGATAATTGGGAATATTTATTGGAAAGAAGATTTAAATTTTCAAACGAGTCGCCTACGGGCTGAGAAACTGCGGTATACAAGCAAAGTAAATAAATACTAAAGAGAACATGTACAGAATGTTTCATAGATGTTCTATAATTCCTGAGATAATAGCTAAACTAGATAAATCACACTGGTGGACCTGTAAGTTGGTACAAACTTATTGGGGAAGAGTGATTGAAGAAAAAAATCACTAAAAAGGATAGGAAAAATCTAGACATGTGCCTCTTAGGGCTATTTGGTGAAGAAATCAGTAAAGATGATGTAGAAATCTGTCCATATAGTTTTGTTGCAGCAAGAATAATAATAGAAAAAATTTGGGAAAAAGAAAAAGAGCTAATGCTAAAGGACTGGAGAGAAAATCTATTAGACTATATCCAAATGATCAAGCTATCCAATGGCATATGGGGAGGAAGAATGAAATAGAAGTTGCATCTGGATATCTACAAAGGAAGACAAAAATAGATTTCTGCCTGTCTGGAAGCGTGCCCAGGCTTTTTGGGGTCAAATTTTGAGTGGTGTCAGAAGTCATGGGTGGGAGGAGGGGATGAGTGTGGGAGGCTGGTGTATTTGTATTATGTGTATTTAATGTATTTCTTTTATTTTCTTTTACCTTCTGTATATCACCTTTACACAATACTGTTTTTTTTTAAAAAAATGACTAAAATTTCTAGACTTGTACTTGAGTATATACAGCATTTAAAAATTAAATTGAGACTTTAAATTTATATTACACTGGCTGTAGGCGGACGACTGTGATTAGACTCAGCAACAGTAAATCTTCACCCCACATCTAAATTAACTAGCCCAAGGCATGTATTTTCTTCAAAACATTTATGCTGATTGAAGATTTGTTAAGGCATTGATACCTCGTTGCTTCAGCCTTGTATTTTCCAGTGGTATAGAAAGGTGCATCATTATTGTATTCATCAAAGACGCCCCATCTGAGATGAGCCCATTCATGGACAAATACTCTGCCTGCAGAAAAACCAGTAACAACCCTAACTGTGACAAATGTACGGCACTTTTATTCAGTTTAATTATTCTATTAATGATCACTAGTGTTGTGTAAAGGTTTAAGTACTGGACCATCACTCTGGAGACCAGTGTTCAAATCACCACTTATCCGCAGAAACCCACTGGATGATATTGAGCAAGATATTGACATTTTCTCAAGAAAACCATATGATAGATTCACCCAAGGGTACGTCATCAGGTGATTTCACCCAAAGGAGACTAAAGTAACATTAGAAATAGCATAAAAATTGAGCAGTGTGTTGTCATATTATGAGTCCTAAATTTCTGTTTTGAAGAGCTAAATGAATGTTAAATTAGCTTTCCTTATCCTTAGGCATTTTAAACCCCTACTATTAAGCTATTATTACAGAAATGGTAATATTATATTTGGAATCATTCTACCTGAACCCCACACAGGTCAGTTGAAGGCCTTTTGCTATCTGGATGTAAATACAGTGTTTCCATGTACAGAAGACAAACAGACTAGCTTAGCCCAAAACCCCTTGCTACTATTCACTATCCTGAGATCAGCCACCACTATCTGCCTAATGGTTGGGCTGGCTTGAAAATGTGTGGATTAACCTAACATGAAAATATTACTAGTTCCTAGTCTCTGGATCTTAAGGTTTTTCTTCCACTGCTTTTCTTACTTTGTTACCTTTTGAAAGTTAACTCTTAACATTGTAAAAAACATAATATTTCTATTTGAATGAAGAGGTACTACCTCGTGGTCCATAAACAATGAGCAAACTGTCATCTGTCAGGAAGTTAGGCGTGAAATGGATGTACCGCCCTGGTTCACCACACCCTCCATACTGCAAGGTGTAGGGTTCATCACCATATTTCAAGAAAGGATCTGCCACAATGACATCAGCCTAAAATAAAGTAAGAACTGATATAAAGATTATGTAGGAATATATATATATTGCATTGTATCCCCATGATTTTTCAAAACAAATCAAATATTTTAAACATTTTAAAGTGTACTCACATTGTTATAGGATTCCCGGGTTACTCTTTTATATTCAGATTTATGGATCCAATTCAGAGGAATTAAAATTTTTACAGACTTGAAATAAAACCTTTGCTTTGTAGCACTGAAGAGATAGGATGAGGCTTGTTTAACCATATCCTAACAGGAAGAGAAAAAGGGGAAAAAGCATATTATGAGTGTTAGAAATGTGTTCATTAGACTCAGTTTTGCTTAGAAAATTTGCAAAAGTTGATTGTCGATAAAGAACAGTAATTTTAAAAATATGGCACTGGCAATCATGTTGCAGTCTGTAACGTGGGTGCTGGATTACACAGCTAACAGTATTTGCTGAAAAAAAGGTAATTTTGACATTAGACACACAGTTAACTATTGGACATGCACATACACTTCATTATAAATACTCTGATAATTTTCAACAGTATGTGTATAACTTTCTTGTAATTTGTTCATTTTATCTGCCATTGATTTAGTATGTTTATTTGCGGTTAGAATTGGATTTTTGCCTATTATTGTTGGACTCAGGATAAGTTACGACTTCATCACACGAGCCACTGGAATCACCACGTGTCATGGCAAATCCAGTGATTGTCATTGGGAGTGTGGAGAACCCGTCACCCCACAGCTTGCATCGCCCAGCTCACAAGGAAGCTGATCCCATGGGGGAAAGTGTTGACCTTGTGGCTTCCCCCATGGGATCAGTTTGGAATTCTGAAATCTAAAATACTCCAAAATCATCCATGTAGGTGGCTGCGATAGTGACACTTTGGCTTTCTGATGGTTCAGTGTACACTAACTCTGTTTAATACACAAAATTATTAAAATATTGCATAACATTGCTTTTAAGCAATGCACATAGGTATATATAAATCATGTTTGAATTTCATGTTTAGACTTGGATCCCATATCCAAGTTATGTTGTTATGTACACATGTGCAGATACTGGCATTCCAAATCCCACCCACCCGCCCACCCCCCTATATATATAATCCATGCATTTCAGATAATGGATACTCAACCTGTATATCATTATTTGGTAAAATTAAGTTGCTCAATTAATATATTTTAAATAATAATGTTCTTACCTTTATACTGTTAATGATTTTATTGTCTTCAGATAATGCAGGGTTAATTGCAATAACAATGTCTTCAAACCCACCATTGTTGAGCTTCACCATGGTTCCCTTCATTTCATGCAGCAGCATCAGCCCCATTAAAAGGTGCCACTGATACAGCAACATCTTTGCTTGTGCCACCTGTCCCAGCTCACGACAGAGATAATGATACAGGAAGATTTGTATGGGTGTTTATATAGACGTGTGTTTTCCATTAGAGTTGTAAAGGGAATACAGCGATCGGTATTTAGTTTTGTGGTGCTAGGGTGGGGCACCTTTGGCCCAACAACTGTTTAAAACTTCTTTTCTAATATATCTGGAGGGGAAAATGTAAGAAATAAATCAACACTGAATATTTTTCCTGTGAGATAAAAATATTGGCTGTATTTCCTAGGAAACTGAAACAATTTGGAATTTCCACTGTGTGTTTTTTTAAGCATCCATGAACAAAATAATATGCACACCAATCCAAGTGATGGGACAGAATTTTTCCACTGGCTGTAGTATACATCCTTAGGTATAAATCTAGACATTTTAGTAAAAAAAAAAAAAAGGACTCTCCACAAATCTAGCTCATCTTATCCACAGATTAACATAAATATTTTGTCTTAATTCTTATTTTAAAAAAGGAACCATCTCTGAGTAGCATGATGAAAGGCAATAGCTCAGTCCATCCTGGCAGAATCAAAAGAATAATCAATCCCCTGGTTTGAGGGCATGTCTTCTGATGTGTCAATCAGTTGGAAATTAAATTTGATATTGTGTTGTCGAAGACTTTCATGGCCAGAATCACTAGGTTGCAAGTTTTTCGGGTTGTACAGCCATGTTCTAGAAGCATTCTCTCTTGATGTTTTGCCCACATCTATGGCTGACATAGATGTGGGCAAGTGGTTTGTTGGAAACTAGGCAAGTGGTGTTTATATATCTGTTGAATGTCCAAGGTGAGAGAAAGAACTCTTGTCTGTTTGAGGCAAGTTTGAATGCTGCAATTGATCCCCTTAGCATTAATAAGCCTTGCAGCTTCAAGGCTTGGCTGCTTCCTGCCTAGGGGAATCTTTTGTTGGGAGGTGATTAACTGTCTCTGATTGTTTCTTGTCTGAAGTTGTCCTGTTTTTGAGTGTTGTTCTTACTTTACTGTCCTGCTTTTAGAGGTTTTTTTTAATACTGGTAGCCAAATTTTGTTCATTTTCATGGTTTCCTCCTTTTTGTCGAAATTGTCCACATAATTGTGGATTTCAGTGGCTTCTCTGTGTAGCCAGACGTGGTGGTTGTTACAGTGGTCCAGCATTTCTGTGTTCTCAAATAATATGCTGTGTCCAGGTTACTTCATCAGGTGCTCTGCTCTGGCTGACTTCTCAGGTTGAATTAGTCTGCAGTGCCTTTCCGGTTCCTTGGTTCTTGTTTGTGTGCTCTGTTTGGTGGTCCCTATGTAGACTTGTCCACAGCTGCATGGTATATGGTAGACTCCTGCAGAGGTGACAGAATCCCTCTTGTCCTTTGCTCAATGTAGCATTTGTTTTTCTTAGTGGGTCTGTAGATACAAGGGTTGAATGAAAAGTAATGTCTCCACCTTTGTTACTTGAGTTTGGATGGGAATATTTTAATAAATCAAACACAGAAATAATCCTTAGAATGTGCTCTTTAACTACAACTATTCACTTTTCCACTATTCACCAGACAATTGGATGCATTTCTACCAACTATGAACAAGTTTTCTGAAGCTGTCACGGAAGAAGTCGACACTCCACAACCCATCGTGCACAAATCTGCCGATTGCCAAGCAAAGCAATAATATGACCCACACGTGAAATGTCGATTATGCTTGAAATTTCTCTCTGAGTGATATGACGATTGTCCTGAATCAATCTGTCAACCTTTTGCTTGTGAAACTCGGTGGTTGCTGTCACAGGACGTCCAACTCTTCGTTTGTCATGCAAGTCAGATGTTCCCACCTCAAAATCTTTAAACTTACTTGCTCAACGACACACAGTACTCACATTAACAAAATCACCACAAACAGCTTGCATTCTCTGATAAATCTCCTTTGGGGAGACAGTTTCTGCTGTCAAGAATTCAGTGACTGCACATTGCTTAAGTCGCATTGACCTGCGCAGGGTTCCATACTTCGTACTTTAACAATACAACCGTTCAATGCTAAGGCTTCCCGTCAAAATGGAACTGTAGAGGAGAGTCTACTGAACAAGTCAGTATCTGCCGCATACCAGTACTGCCATCTGTTGAGGAGTTACGAAGGTGGAGACATTACTTTTCATTCAACCCTCGTAGTTTGTAGGTTTGTTTTTTCATCAGATTCCCTATGCAATCAGTAGTTCCTTTTATGTATAGTAAGAACACTTTTCCTCAGGGTGGATCTTTGTCTTTACTCGTAGCTTGTTCTTGGTCTTGTAGCTCTTCTGATGTCGGTGGTAGAGTATCCATTGGCCTGTAAAGCCCACTTTAGGTGGTTCAGTTCACCTTGGAGGAGGTGGGGTTTGCAGATTCTTTTTTGCATGGTCTGCCAAGGCTTTAATTGTGCTTCTTTTTCATGTGGGTGAAGGTTGGAGTTTTTATGTAGGTATCTAGTCGTGTGTGTAGATTTTATGTAAACTGTGTGGCCCAATTGTTGATTGGGTTTGTGGATGACTAGGACATCTAGAAATGGCAGTTTGCCTTAATTTTCTTTTTGAATTGGATGTTTGGGTGGATGTTTGGATGCTGTTAAGGTGGTCCAAGAACAGGAAAGCTGATGAAAAAACACAACCTACAAACTATCTACAGACCCACTAAGAAAATGCAGCCATAGCCGAGCACTTGATGAACCAACTTGGACACAGCAAATTATTTGAGAACACAAAAATGCTGGACCACTCTAACAACTACCATGTCAGACTACATAGAGAAGCTACTGATATCTACAAGCATGTGGACAATTTCAATAAAAAGAGAGAAACCATGAAAATGACCAAAATCTGGCTACCAGTATTAAAAAAACTCTAAAATCAGGACAGTAAAGAAAGAACAACAGTCAAAAACAGGGGAATTCCAGACAAGAAACAATCATGGCCAGCTAATCGCCTCCCAACAAAGGATTCCCCCACACAGGAAGCAGCTAAGCTTTCAAGCTTGTTCTAGAATTCACCCTCACATGGTGGGTGGTTCATATATTGTTTTTTGTGTAAGAAACTCTGAGTGGATGGAATCAAATTCTCTATTAAAATTCATTTGAATATTTCAGACTGTGGTCCTTCCAATATTTGCTTCTAAAGAGGAAAGTTTTCCAGAAATGTTTACAGGACTGATTGACCTAAATTTTAATAGTTTTATTACTGACTCAGGCAAAAATGTTTGCTTTTCCACATCACCTCATTCTTTTAAGTTCCACAGAAACAACCCTTGAGAGGAAAGTGTTCCCTCTCTTCCCTCTTCTTGGGAACTGACAAAATAAATGTCTTTGGTTGCAGTTTTTAAAAGGGCCAGAGGCATATTGTTAGGAAGGAAGTTAGTGTGAAGAAAGGCATAAGAGAAAAAGAGTTACCGGAGGTTAAAGCTAACAGATCTAACCACTGTTGAGGGAAATCATTTTCTAGAACAGTGTTTCTCAACCTTCTTAATACTGTGACCCCTTAATACAGTTCCTCGTGTTGTGGTGATCCCCAACCATCACATTATTTTCCGTGCTACTTCATAACTGTAATTTTGCTCCTGTTATGAATCGTAATGTAAACATCTGACGTGCAGGATGTATTTTCATTCACTGGACCAAATTTGGCACAAATGATATGCCCAAATTTCAATACTGGTGGGGCTGGGGGGATTGATTTTGTCATTTGGGAGTTGTAGTTGCTGAGATTTATAGTTAAACTACAATCAAAGATAACTCCCGCCATCTATGGAACTGAACCAAATTTGGCACACAAAACTCCTATGACCAAGAGAAGATATTGGAAGGGTTTGGTGGGCATTGATTTCAGTTTTAGAGTTGTAGTTCACCTACCTCCAGAGAGCACTGTGGACTCAAACATTAATTGATCTGGACCAAACTTGGCATGAATACTCAATACGCCCAAAGTTTGGGAAAAATAGACCTTGGCATTTGGGAGTTGAAGTTGCTGGGATTTATAGTTAATCTACAATCAAAGAGCATTCTGAATCCACCCCATAAGGGATCTGTACTAAACTTGACATGCTACCTACATGGCCAACATTGATTACTAGTGGGGTCGGGGAGGGGCTGTTTTTGAATTCTGGGAGTTGTAGTTCACCAACACCAAAAAGAAAGAGAAGGACAGGCAGAGAGATATTCTGCCTTCTCTGCCAAAAGGGTTCCTAAGACCATCAGAAATGTGTGTTTTCTGATGGTCTTTGGCGACCCCCTGAAACCCTCTCGCGACCCCCTCAGGGGTCCCGACCCCCAGGTTGAGAAACACTGTTCTAGAAGATAACAAGCTACAGCAGCAGTAGTAAAAAATGTGAGAATTCATAGCTGCTAGAGGTTTGATTCTTCTGCTGGTGAGATCTTTTGGGGGTTCTCTTTTCCCCATTCGTTCAATTCCACTCAGAGCTTCTAGTACAAAAAGAGGTCTTTGACTGCTACTTGTCTTTGGTGGCAACAAAACAATTTGTACAAAAACTAAGGTGCAGCCAAAGAAAGAGAAGTCGTGCCTGGGGGCTGGACCCACAGAAGAAAGTAAGAACTATTCTGGATTTTTATTAGTGAAGATATTGGTTGGTACATATTACTGGTACATATAAGGGAACAGCTGGCTTGGTGGTATTAGAAGGTGATTTTTCCCTTCTTTTTATTGGGAGAAGGCTATATGTTAATATTTTTGTTTTTCCAACTGTTCTATTTCTTCATCAATCCTTATAATTTATTAGTGGGTCCTAGGTCTCGTGTTTGGGTGTTTCTCCAATGGTTATAAACTCCAGCTGAGCAAAAGAAGGTGGTCTTGAAGGATGGTTCCATTTTAATAATAACTTTATTCTTATATCCCACCACCATCTCCCCAAAGGGACTTGAGGTGGCTTACAGATGGCACAAAGTGCCTAAAAACAAACATAAAAGTGAACACAATATAAAATACAATAAGATAAAATGCATGCACATATTGTTTACTTGATTTTTTTGTCATGTCAGAAGCAACTTGAGAAATTGCAAGTCGCTTCTGGTGTGAGAGACTTAGCCATCTGCAAGGACGTTGCCCAGGGGACGCCCAGGTGTTTTGATGGTTTTACCATCCTTGTGGGAGGCTTCTCTCATGTCCCCGCATGAGGAGCTGGAGCTGATAGAGGGAGCTCATCCGTGCTCTTCCCGAATTCGAACCTGCAACCTGTCGGTCTTCAGTCCTTCCAGCACAGGGGTTTAACCCACTGTGCCACCGGGGGCTCTATGTTTACTTGATACAAAGAACAAACACTGGGCCTCATCATAATTGGCTCTGTCACTTCCTTCATCTGCTATTTCTCAGAACCAGGTGTTCAGCCATTCAGCCACAGAGCCTAATGGCTCCCACCACATCCCGGAGAAATACCTCCGAGATAGTTCTAGGGCTGAACTGCCGCAAAAACTCTGCCGCCATCAAAGAATTGCTGGTGGAGGTGAACAGGAAGCTCCCTGTCTTTCCATTGGAAAAGATGGACCGAGCCAGCTTACAGAGACTTCCCTCTGTGTGTTGAAGTAGAAGGAAAGCCGGGATGGTTCAGGGTGCAAAGTGACAGGTCCTCACATCCCCTGGATGAGCACAACCGGGATCACTGGGATATGTGATAATCCAGGGTGATTCCGGCAGCGTGTGTAAGAAGGTCCCTGAAATACAGGGGCATGTACTAACCAGGGTAACCCTGCGTAGTTTCCTATATCAGACAGGATTTGACATCTTTATGATACTGCTACAAGTAAAAAGAATATTTGAAAATATGGTGGGTTTTCCAGATTCATGGGGATTCAGTTTCAGGATACCTCACGGATGCCAAAAAAGTGTATGAGGCTTAAAAACAACAATGCTACAAAATGTTTTGAGATTTTTATTTTACTATTTAAAATGTTTTACAAAGTAGTTTGTCTTCTTTAAAACTCGTGAGTTCCAGAGAAACAGCACTTTGGGAGAAACATAACCTCTCTCTCACTCTTCCCAAGAACTGATTGGAAAGTCATTCTTTGGCTTTCTTGCAGTACAGAAATGCTCGAGTCTTTTATAGATCAGCTAGTTGGCAGATTTATGATGAATGGGAAAGTCAGTTCAGCCCAGAGGATGTAACCTTGGTTCCTGTTTGTCCAATGTTACTAAATAGTTCATTCAATTTGGCAGCCTGAGGATGTGGACAGAATTCTTGGTCTTTATTATGGTCCCACTATTATTGTTTTCAGTATTAAAAATAGCAGTAAGGTGGCTTTGACAATGCAGAGAGGCATGTGTTTATCAGAGGAACTATTAGGACTGATGTTATCTGGAAGAAAAACCACTCTGGCTATGTTAGATGCTTCTCCAACATTGTCACTCTCACCAGTGGCATTAATGGTAAAGTAGATGGACGTGGCATTTTCTCTTTGGAGGTTTACCAGTTTATACATAAATGTCTGCTTGACCACAGCAAGTTCAGGTATCAGACCAGATGTGTTCAAAGAAGCAGCATTATGGAAAGTTGCATTTCATAATTCCAAGGGGTTTTCACTCATTCTTATTTCATATCCTTCAACTGCAAGATAAAGAGTAGACAACACATGTGCATTAGATACTGAGTCTGAGAGATGTGAAGACCTAGAAAAATTCATTGGAAAATCCCCACTCCCCCAGCTTTACTTTTCAATTAAAGATTGGGATGGGAGAAAATATTTCTTTTAGGACGAATAAAATGTTCAGGATAAGAAGTCCATATTCCTGTTCATATATTTATTCGCTATCACATTATTTCTACAAACTATGTAAAAAGTTAAGAATTATCTGTAAGACTTATATAGCATAGTGAATTTTCCTCCAACTCCCAGTTCAAAAGCATCTATCTTCCTTCGCTCAGCCTTCATATGGTCCAGCTCTCACATCCATAGGTTACTACGGGAAATTCCATTGTTTTAACTATGCGGATCTTTGTTGCCAGTGTGATGTCTCTACTCTTCACAATTTTATCGAGATTGGTCATTGCTCTCCTCCCAAGAAGTAAGCATCTTCTGATTTCCTGGCTGCAGTCTGCATCTGCATTCATCTTTGCACCTAGAAATACAAAGGCTGTCACTACCTCCACATTTTTCCCCTCTATTTGCCAATTATCAATCAGTCCGGTTGCCAGAATCTTGGTTTTTTAATGTTTAACTGCAGCCCAGCTTTTGCACTTTCTTCTTTCACCTTGGTTAGAAGGCTCCTCAGCTCCTCCTCGTTTTTGGCCATCAAAGTGGTATCATCTGCATGTCTAAGGTTGTTAATGTTTCTTCTAGCAATTTTTACCCCAGCCTTGCATTTGTCAAGCCTCGCACATTGCATGATGTGTTCTGCATAGAAGTTGAATAGGTTGGGTGAGAGTATACAACCCTGTCGTACGCCTTTCCCAATCTTGAACCAGTCTGTTGTTCCATGGTCAGTTCTAACTGTTGCTACTTGGTCATTATACAGATTGCTCAGGAGATAGACAAGGTGATTTGGTATCCCCATACCATCAAGAACTTGCCACAGTTTATTGAATATCCGAACAGTCAAAGGCAAGGTAATTTTTAAAGATTAATTCAATCATAAAAAATACCACAATTTCAAAATATCACCACTTTGTTTTTCCTGTCATTATTTATTCATAATTGTGCTACTGCTAGATTTTAACTTTGTTTCGGACTTTCATGATTGAGAGCAATGAAATTGAGAGGAAGGAGAGTGGCCCAGAGAAGAGGAAATGAGATAATGCCTCCTGTCTCCTCGGGAATAGCAGGATTGGAAGGGAAAGTCTATATCCCCGTGGTGTCTCTCTTCTCAGATCAATGCCAGCTGTCTCCTTGGGAATAGCAGGTTCAGAAGAGAAAGTTTATTATTCCCAAAGTTTCCCCCCCAAGATATGGGTTTGTTGTTTTTTTTTGCGGGGGGGGGGGGGGGGGGTTGGAAAAAATGGAGTGGATGGGAACTGCACTCACTCATGAGATAAATCTGAAAATGAATGATTTCAGGAGAAAAGGCAAAAAAGAACAATGTGTGCTGGGACCTGAGAAATTATACAATTTGCTTTCTAATGCAACAGGACATAGCGCCACGGATATATCATGCCCCAACCCATCCCGGTGGGATAACATCCTAAGGAAAGTCTTCATTCTTAACCCATCACCTTTTGATGGAGAAGAATCTGAGAGAGGGGTCGAACGAGGCAAGAGAGAAGGGGAGTCCCCAAGGAAGTGACCAGGATCACAAGGTTTACTAGCAAAGTATTTATGACCATGCATTTTAAAGGGTAGTAGATGGGGATTAGATGAAAGAAATACACAGAAGGATTTGATATGTAAGAAGGTGGAAAGCCCTGTTGCTCCAATAATGGTGGTGGGTTGGGGAAAGCCCTGTTGCTCTAACAATGGTGATGGGTTGGGGATGATGATGATGTTGTAGTATTACTGTTATTATCATAATAAGAGCCCCCGGGGGGCACAATGGGTTAAACCCTTGTGACACCAGGACTGAAGATTGACAGGTCACAGGTTCGAATCCGGGGAGAGCGTGGATGAGCTCCCTCTGTCAGCTCCGGCTCCCCATACAGGGACATGAGAGAAACCTCCCATAAGAATGGTAAAACATCAAAACATCCAGGCATCCCCTGGGCAGCGTCTTTGCAGACGGCCAATTCTCTCACACCAGAAGTGACTTGCAGTTTCTCAAGTCACTCCTAACATGAAAAAAATTATCATCATTATAATTATACCCTGTTTCTTCTCTCTTAAAAGAGACTCAAAGAAGCAGACGACTAATGTTTCCATCCCTTTCTGAATGTGAGCTAGCTATGTGATGGAAAGATGACAGTATTTTGCTTCTGACTATTTAATGGGAAAGGAGGGGCTCATCAATCTTCCAAGTCCTGGTCAATAGGAAAACTGTCCCCTGTTGCTTACAGCAGCTCCTACCTGTAACATAGAAATGGAGGGGTTGGGCCAGGAGATGCTACTTGGCTACATAACAAAGGTACTTATATGTCTAAGTGGGTGATACAGAATCACGGCTACCATTATTTTATTTATATTCTACTTTTCTCCCAACATTAAGACTTAACCACAGCAACGAACTGTCCAAGTTCAAAATATGTTTCCAGTCAAGCAACAGAGAAATGTTCTTCAATCTCTTTGGTCTATTTTATTTTATTTTATTTAGAGCCCATCTTTGTCCTAGAACAGGTGGTGGGGTATAAAAATATAAAACAAAGTTCCATTACAAATCTTATAAAAGTGAAAAAACAAGTAACAAATATTTCTATGTAAAAGTACACCATCAAAGTACATTCAAAGCACACAATTGGTAGTCATAAAAACTTTTGAAAAATGTTCGTATTGTAGGAATTTGGAGTTCTAAATCCAAAAAAATAACCACAGATTTGTTCTACGATGTAAAGAGTTTTTTTTAAAAAAAAATGCTTTTATGTTTTTATTTTGTAACATGTAAAGAGTAAGAAAGGCATAAAGGTCTTCCAATAGACTTTGAAAACACTTTAATTTGATAATCTGAACACATTAATTTGTTCAAAAGCAGTAAAAGAAGTCACACTGGAACATCAGCATCTGCTCTTAATCCAAACTGAGTAAAATATTGAAAAAGTGAAATGTTTAATTCCTTGCAGGCCTGTGAATTAAAAAACTAGAAGCACAGTACACCACAATTATTTTAGATACAACCTCACAGGTTTTTATCTTCCACAAAGATGTTAAAAATTAAATACCTGGGAGGAAGTGGAAATGTGGTGATATTTATATACCAACCCAAGTGGAAACTTTCTTAACTTTTTATTTCATCTGTTCTCCCCATTTGGTTAGCTGAAAAGCATCAAATGCCTGTCAGGAAGATAGACATCAATCTAAATAAAAAGATTCTTCATATGCCAAAGAAGCATAATCATAATTTCCCAGGAGACACTCTCTGGTGGAAGTCTTGAAGATCCTGCAGTGATTTTGTGTCAGGAAGGTATCCTCACAGATAGGAAGGTTATACTGCATTGTTCATTGTGCGCCAGTTGCGCCCATACCTTGTGAAGTCTGACTTGGCCATGATGGTCCATGCCCTAGTTACCTCTGGGTTGGATTACTTCAGCGCACTCTACATGGGGCTGCCCTGTCTGCTTACGGGAGCTAGTTACAGGGAGCGGTCAACTCCCCTGTTTAAATAGCTCCACTGACTTCCAATAAATTTCCGTCCCAATTCAAGGTGCAGGCGATCACCTACAAAACCCTAAATGGTTTGGGACCTGCCTATCTTCGCAATCGCATCTTCCCCTACGAACCAGTGTGTACCCTGAGATCATCTGGAGAGGCTCTGCTCTCTCTTCCGCCACCGTCTCAAGCGTGGTTGGTGGGGATGAGGTAGAGGGCCTTTTCAGTGGTAGCCCCCTGGTTTTGGAATTCCCTCCCTAGGGAGATCAGACAGGCTCCCACTCTGACCTCCTTTTGGAAGGCATTAAAAACCTGGATGTTCCATTGTGCCTTTGATTAGGCAGTTCACCAAAGAACCATCCTGTCCCCACCTTAAGTTCTGCACTTTATTTTAGGCCTTTATTGATACCTTAACCCTTTCACCAATGGTATTCCCTAGTCCCCGTTCATTCAATTTTCTGCACTTTCCATTGGTTCCTTTTAGGAATTATTTGCACTCAATGAGCCTAAATTCAACTATGACCTTTATCTCAGCCATATTGTTTTATGATACCGTTTATGACTGTTACGTTTTAGTATTTTTGTTGATTGATTTTAACTGTGTCTCTGTGTTTATCTGTAACTTTTGGGCTTGTCCCTTTGTAAGCCACCCTGAGTCACCTAGGGGAGATGGTGGCGGGGTATAAAAATAAAGTATTAGTAGTAGTAGTTGTTGTTGTTGTTATTATTGTGTGATTATTCTTGTTATTACACTTCAGTCTTAGAACATCATTCTTTTCAGGTAAAATATAAATTGCTGTGCTTTAAACAGAACCAATAATTACAGTAACACTTAACTCAGATCTCTGTTATGGTACCCGTATTATTGTTTTCAGTATTAGAAACAGAACTAAGGTGGCAATGACAATGCAGGGAGGCATATGTTTGTCAGAGGAACTATTAGGACTGGTGATATCTGGAAGCAAAACTGCTCCAGCTATGTTAGATATTTCTCCAACATTGTCATTTTCATCAATGGCACAGATGGCAAAGTATATTGAGGTGGCATTTTCTCTTTGAAGGTTTTCTGTCTTATAGAGAAAGGATTGTTTGACCCCAGCAAGTTCAGGTATCAGACCAGATGTGTTCAAAGAAGTGGCATTATAGAAGGTAGCATCTCTTAATTCCAAGAGGTTTTCACTCATTCTTATTTCATATCTTTCAGCTGCAAAATAAAGAGTAGACAACACGTGTGCATTAGATACTGAGTTTCAGAAATGTGAAAACCTAGGAACACTAATAGAAAAATTCATTAGAAAATTACTCCTCCCGCAACCATAGTTTTCCAGAAAATCTGGGTTTGGGGGAAGAATAATGGAAAGACAAAATTAACTCATATCACTTTGTTATTTGGATCAATTCTTCTTCACAGCTGTTGTTCACTGTATGAGCAATGAACTAGAAGCTGTCCCTAACATAGAATCATAGAATCATAGAGTTGGAAGAGACCTGGTGGGTCATCCAGTCCAACCCCCTGCCAAGAAGCAGGAAAATCACATTCAAAGCACCCCCAACAGATGGCCATCCAACCTCTGCTTAAAATCCCCCAACGAAGGCGCCTTCACCACACTCCAGGGCAGAGAGTTCCACTGCTGAACAGCTCTCACAGTCAGGAAGTTCTTCCTCATGTTCAGATGGAATCTCCTTTCCTGTAGTTTGAAGCCATTGTTCAGTGTCCTAGTCTCCAGGTCAGCAGAAAACAAGCTTGCTCTCTCCTCCCAATGACTTCCCCTCACATATTTATACATAGCTATCATGTCTCCTCTCAGCCTTCTCTTCCGCAGCCTAAATATGACCAGCAAAATTTCACTTACCTTTCCCCATATCATAATCATCCCCAGGCGCTGTCCAGGACAAAAGGAATTCCTTATCTTTACTGAGTTCTACCTCAAGGTCAGTGATTTTACAGGGAGGGAAGACATCTGGTGGATTTCCAGGAGGCACACCAGTCATGACAAAAGAACCCCCTGATGCCGTTCTACTGAAATTTCCCACATTTGCCTGGATTTCATCTTCACTAGGGCGAGGTCTTGGTGGATTTAGTTTTATCTCACCTATGAAAAATAAATACCTGTATCAGAGTGTGTGCTAGACATTATTCTGTATATCTGTGTGATTTATTCTCTTTTGTTCATGATCTTCAATCACTTTGTTCTCTCAAATATCTACCCATATTAAAACTTGCATTTGTCCCCTTTATAATAGAACTGTTTATATGGTGGAAGCCATATTCTTCTAACTTTTCATCATCCTTTACCATCGGAACTGATCTCACCAATCCCTTACTCCACTACAGTCGCATTATTGTTGTTCATGGAAACATATCAGGTTGAATATCTTTAGTAATGCACCTCACAATTATGGCAGCTCACAGTTCCATAGTTCTGCAATCATACTTCTGCACACCAGAAGGGGCCCATCACATCAAGATGGTGACAGAAATCTGTAATTCCCTATAGGATTGATATTATTATTTTAGAATTCTTAAACCCCCAATATTTTGCACTTTTCTTAGAAAGTAATGCTATCCCTTCGATCATCTGGAGAGGCCCTGCTCACGATCCCACCTGCGTCGCAGGCGCATTTGGTGGGGACGAGGGACAGGGCCTTCTCTGTAGTGGCCCCCCAACTCTGGGACTCTCTCCCTAAGGACATCAGACAGGCCCCAACATTGGCTGTCTTCAGGAAGAGCCTGAAGACCTGGCTGTTCCAGTGTGCCTTCCCAGAATAGGAAACTCCTGGCTTCAAGTCCCAAACGCACTTTGTTAGAGATTCAGGATTATCTGCACATTGCACCTACCGCCAAATACCTCTATATATTACCTGTCAGGTTCAGCACTTTTAATTTTTGTCCATTACATTTGGCCCGGCCCCTAGGTTTTTAATTGCGTCACAGTGTCATTGTTTTACTGTTCTATTGTTTTGCTTGATGTTTTATTATTTGCTTATGAGTTTTACTGTGCATTGTATGTTGTTGTTGTCGGCGGCCTCGGCCTTTGTAAGCCGCATCGAGTCCTTCAGGAGATTTTGCGGGGTATAAATAAAGTTAATAATAATAATAATAATCCCATGTTTAATACTTACCATTTTCTGCATAACCCGTTACATAGAGAGATTGGCTTTGCCTGCGAACTCGTCTGACAGTCTCGTCTTTTCCTTGGACATGGATCTTTACGCTGTGTCTGCCATTACCATGGGGAAATGTGAAATACCTTGAGTAGATTCCATCGTGTTTCATAATGTCAGAACCTTAGTACATAAATGTTGAAATTATTATCAAAAACAAATATTTTGTTGTTGGTAACATCTACATGTAAGAAATGTTCCCGCCAAAGTTTCTGTCCCTGTTTTTATAGGAAACTCGCTGTCCCCTGCCACATGTTGCTGTGGCCCAGTTTGTGTATTTGCGTTTTTTTGTGTATATATGTGCATAGAAAAGGCAGAGGAACGAGAGACCAAATTGCCAATATCCGCTGGATAATGGAGAAAGGCAGGGAGTTTCAGAAAAACATCTACTTCTGCTTCATTGACTATTCTAAAGCCTTTGACTGTGTGGATCATAATAAATTGTGGCAAGTTCTTGGTGGGATGGGGATACCAAGTCACCTTGTCTCTCTCCTGAGGAATCTGTACAAGGACCAAGTAGCAACAGTCAGAACTGACCACGGAACAACAGACTGGTTCAAGATTGGGAAAGGCGTCCGGCAAGGGCCTCTCACCCAACCTTTTTAACTTGTATGCAGAACACATCATGCGATGTGCGGGGCTGGATGAATGCAAAGCTGGGGTGAAAATTGCTGGAAGAAACATTAACAACCTCAGATATGCAGATGATACCACTCTGATGGCTGAAAGCGAGGAGGAGCTGAGGAGCCTTCTAATCAAGGTGAAAGAAGAAAGCGCAAAAGCCGGGTTGCAGCTAAACATCAAAAAAACCAAGATTATGGCAAAAAGAATGATGATAACTGGCTAATAGAGGGAGAAAACATGGAGGTCGTGACAGACTTTGTATTTCTAGGTCCAAAGATTACTGCAGATGGAAACTGCAGCCAGGAAATCAGAAGACGCTTACTTCTTGGGAGGAGAGCAATGTCCAGTCTCGATAAAATCGTAAAGGGTAGAGACATCAGACTGGCAACAAAGATACGCCTAGTCAAAGCCATGTGTAGCGAATTTGTTACTCTGTGTGAAAATTTTAGTGTATAGATCTATGTTTGCAGGGGGCAGATAGGGAAGATTAGAGACAAGTAGTATAGCAACAGCGGACAAGATCATTTGCATATGGAGCCCGATTGGTCCTATGCAGATTAGTGCAGATAGTTGGGAAGAGCAGAGCCAAACATTCTAAAGGGGTGGAGTTAAGTTTAAAAAGAGGCAGTTAGAGTAGAGAGTTTAGAAAATGACAGTTGGGAACAGAGGTTGAGAAATGAGCAGTTAAGAAAATGTGTTAGGGATCTCTGTGTGAGAAAAGAAGTCAGGAACTTCTGTTATTGAAGAAGTAGGACTTCCTGTTTAAGAAAAGGAGAGTTGGGAATCTCTGCCTAAAAGAAGAAGTTAAGAAACACTGTCTGAGGGAGACAGTGAGGAATCTCTGTTAGAGAGTTAGTTAAGAATGGCTGCTTGTGAAGTTAGTTGAGTAGGGATTGCAGTTTGTGAAGGACAGAGAGTTAGGGATTCCTGTTCATGAAAGGTAGTTAATCAATCCTGTTAGAAAAGTAAGCCGCTAGTCAAATAAAGTACAAGTTTTAGGAACCTAAAGAAAAGCCAGTGGTGCTTGAATTGGAAAATACTGTTAGTCCTGTATGTGTAAAGCAAATACCATCTTGATAAATGAGAAACATTGAGAGCCTAATTCAAGAAAGTGCAACAAGTATATTATACGTGACTGAAACTCAAGTTTGCAACAAAAATAGTAATTGTAACCACAATCGTTTGGAGCTTGGAATGTTTGAATAAACGTTGATACTTTGTTTCATACAAGAGAGACTCAAGCCTGTGTTTCCAAGCCAAGAGGCTTCTGTTTTACAACACACAGAGCGTCCCAGATATTAAAGCTTTGGCAGAAGACTGCACATAGGTGCATGCTTCTTTTAACAAACTGGTGGCTTCCCTCCCTGATTCTTTACACCATGGTATTCCCTGTAGTAACCTACGGATGTGAGAGCTGGACCTTAGGGAAGGCTGAGCGAAGGAAGATCGATGCTTTTGAGCTGTGGTGTTGGAGGAAAGTTCTGAGAGTGCCTTGGACTGCGAGAAGATCCAACCAGTCCATCCTCCAGCAAATAAAGCCCGACTGCTCATTGGAGGGAAGGATACTAGAGACAAAGTTGAAGTACTTTGGCCACATCATGAGGAGACAGGAAAGCCTAGAGAAGACAATTATGCTGGGGAAAGTGGAAGGAAAAGGAAGAGGGGCCGACCAAGGGCAAGATGGATGGATGGCATCCTTGAAGTGACTGGACTGACCTTGAAGGAGCTGGGGGTGGTGACGGCCGACAGGGAGCTCTGGCGTGGGCTGGTCCATGAGGTCACGAAGAGTCAGAGACGACTGAACGAATGAACAACAACAATATTTGTGTATATGTGTATATATGTGTGTTTGTGTATATATGTGGTTTTGCGCATGCGTGATGTGGCCCAGTCTCTGTGTGTTTTGTGTGTGTGTGTACTTGTGTATATATGTGTGTTTGTGTATATTTATGTGGTTTTGCGCATGCATTGTAATGTAATTGTTTTTTGGCTTTTTAAGTCTCTTCTGCTGTGTTTTTCAGTGTCTTTATGAGTGACAGTCACTTGTTGGCCTGATGGGTGTCTTGTGTCCAAATTTGGTGTCAATTCGTCAAGTGGTTTTTGAGTTATGTTAATCCCATAAACGAACATTACATTTTTATTTATATAGATGGATATGATCAAATCAATCAAAGCAGACATCTGTTTATAAACCTTTAGATAGGTTTTATTTATCTAAACAACTAAACAAGTCAGGCATTCCATATGTCCCATTTGTCATATATATTGCAGACATGTATCCTCAGGTGTAATCTGGGAAGGAATATATCTTGGGGCTAAACTGCACATTACAATTGTCACTTGTGTAACCCTCGAATGAAAAATGTTTGCTTCACAAAATCAGTGGAGGGGGATCGTTGGGCAAGATTGAGTTCACAGTGTGGAGCAAGAGGGACTTTAGCCTGCTCCAGACAAGAAGAGATTAACTTAGTTTGTCAAGAGAGTTTCAAACCTGCCATGCAACCCAGGTTAGACATCTGTTAGGAGCAAAATACCAAAACCACCAGTCTTGATGCAGATTAAATATAAGGGAGGGTGCAGATTGGTATGGTGACTAAAATAAAATGTCTCCTTTAAGGGTAAAACATGTCATTATTTTAATGTAGTTTGGCCCTTGGCTTTAGCTCCATGTCTCAAAAGACTGGAAGAGTCTGTAGGAGCACTGTGCATGAAATCATGTAGATCAGTCAAAAACAATTATTTTTTTTGTATTTTCAGTGGAATTGGTTGCATGCGGTTGATTTTGGAGAAGAATAAGCAATTGCCATCTCAATGGAATATGCAAAACAATCCAATCCCCCCCCCCCCACAAAACTTCTGTTAATTCACACAAGGAAATTCTAAACCATGTAATAACAAATGATCTCAAAATTAATTTACCTGAGCCATCATCAAGGAGCTGGAGCTGTACAGATTTTCCCGGTGCAGATTCAATGGTGGCTGTGACATTTGCACCGACCACAGGCAAAAACCCTTGGCTGACTTCTGCATAAATGATTATTGGATTAGGATACATGTTGCTGTCTCTGTTCAGATAAGACTTCACCACCACTGGAGGTACAGTTGCAGATGCTGCTCGTGTGGTGACTGTTATGGACACCCCTTGCACTGCTGTGTGTGTATTCAGAATTCTGTAAACCCAGTCTCCTGTCTGGAATATATAGAAATATAAAATAGCACATACAGAGCTTCTGGAAATAAATAGTTTCTCCCTAAATGTAGAAGCAGTTGTGCTATTTAAGCAGCAGTGGCACAACCCTATATTAGAACAGTTGTAGTCCTTGTAGTTAAACCAACCATTTATGTGTTGTGTGTGTTTTTTTTAAGCAGGCACATTCTTAGGATTGAATATATAAGTCTGAAAGAAAGCTTCACTTCTACCTCTGCAGTTCCAGGAATCTTGAGACGAGCTGTTCGGATGTTGGTGTGATCGATTACAAAGTCTGCCACAGTGTAGGACTTTCCTTTGGGATCTGACAAACTAATTCTTGGTGGATTTGTGCTCTCACTCCATGTGACTACGAAGAAAGTGTCATTCCCCACAGTTTTGTCAATGGATATAATTCCATACATCCATCTATTGGGACTTAGTTGTCGTCCTTTACTTTCAAGCTGTTTGGAAAATATTTAGTATATACCGATTACAAGAAAAGTAAAATTGCATAGTTTATAAAAGATTTTAAAGTTTTTGTGCTGAACTATTGTTCCACAGAATATAGTTTGGGAACAACTGGTATAAAGTTATATATAAAACATGCATAAATTTTGTGTTTAGGCTTGGGTCCCACCACCATGATATCTCATTATGTATGTGTATACACACACACACACATACATATATACATATGCAAATAAAAGTATTCCAGAGTTTAAGGAAAAATCCCAAATTCAAAACACTTCTGGTCTCAAGCATTTTAAAAAATGATTTTTATTGATAATACACAAATAAAATATTTATGATATGAAAAAACCTTTTAGATATCTATATAGATATCTATATAAAAAGAATTAACAGTTGAAAAGCGCAAACTTGGAAAAGAAATAAAAAAGAAACAAAGAAAAAGAAAGAAAGAAAAAGTAAGAGAAAAAAGAGAGAGTGTGTGTGTATGTGTGTGTATGTCTATTCTGTCTACTTCATGGCGTTGTATAAATCTTAATAACGCCTCTTCCTTGAGTCCCTTTTCTCTATAAACTACTTTTTCTTATATCTTCTCTCCTGTTTATATCATTAATTTCATCTTTTCACCTTTCATATAGCCCTTAATCAGTTGCCAGTCTGTTTGGTTTTTGGTCTTCCTTGGTTTATTGTTGTCAAATACATCAGTCTGTCCATATTCATAATTTCCATTATTTTCAGAATCTATTAGTCGATCGAGGGTTATTATTTAGATCTCCAATTTCTAGCAAAGACTATCCTTACAACTGCTACTAAATAATTGAACAATATCTCTTTATTTATTTTTTTCATTTTCTATGTCTAGGCTTCCCAGAAGGAAATATTTTGGTTCCATTTTAATCTTTATATGGTCTCAACCTGTAAACACTAGTCTGGCCATACAAAAAGTTGTTTGAACTATATTTGCTTTTTCTGTACAGAAAACAGATTTTTCTGTATAGAAGAAAATATTTCTGTGCAGAAATATCTTCTAAGCAGAAAAAAAATCTATTTCCTATTTTCTGCATAAATCAACCACATGTTTCATTTTTATTATTGATTTTGGAAAATGTGATCGTGCTACACTGGATGAGATTCTAACAAGAACTTTTACATTTAGATTTTAGGAAAAATCAGCAACTGAAATTGGGACTGTGATGCTTTGAGGAGAGGATTCAATTATTGTCCCTTTTCCAGTGATTCCTCTCCACAAATTTCCTGTTTGCCTGATGAGTGAAAAATAAACAGGTCATATATCACTGAACCTGGATTAGTACATTTTGACATTTTTGAACATCAACAACAGTTTGAATTTTTCCTTCCCTGCTCCACCAAATTGCTCATAGAGTTCTCCTTCCCCTGTGTATGTTTCTTTTAAAAAGCTTGTCAAGCACCTATTCTGTTACTAAGATGTAGCTTTTATGTCTCCCAAATCCTTGAAATTCTGACCTGAATAGATTGTTGACTGATATCTCCACTTCCAGATGAAATCCCACTGAAAGCATCTATGAGGCCATTGGAGTCCAAACTGTCAGTGGCAGAAAATGTCAAACCTCCTGAAACAGGTAAAATAAAATATTATCCATTTTGCATTAATTATATTACAGTTATTGTTAGTTCATTCATAATCTGCAAATGTGGCACAGACATTTTGTAAAACCCGTTATTCACTTATGGCCTTACCTGTCATATCTGCCAGCATTTCTAGTTCTTTTGCAGCACTTGGCCCCAAAGCAATGGTATGAATTATAGATCCACTCCTTTGAACTTCAGCAAAGCAAGAGCTTACACTTGAATCTTCTCCATCGGTCAAGAGCACAATTTCGCAGCCTTCTGTACTTGAATATTTTTGTAAAAATACCTAAATAAAGACAAAATTTTACCAGCTGTATGAGATTTTTAAAAAAAAATCTTTTCTGAACCCCAGAAGACATCAAATGTCCATACAATGAAAATGCACCATTTATTCCTTAAAATGTGCTTGGTGGCATGTTGTGGCAACATTTTTCAAGTTATTGACGATCTCATACAGTGTCGTTAGAGACCATAGAAATGGCTCTAAGATAGCATTTTGCTTCTTTGTGCTAAATTTCCCTTCTTTAAATTTGCTATAGCTATAGTATTTATTTATTTATTTTATTTGGTACACTTGTATACCGCTAATTTCTCAGCCTAGAACGGCGACTCAATTGCGGTTTACAGCATTTTAAAAACAATCTCAGTTTGAAAAACATATACAAATACAATAACAAATTATTGGGCCACCAATAATAATCCCATATATCTCAAGTTAAAATCACAATCCAGAGTTCGTTGTCCATATTTCCTGTCCATAGTCACCAAGATTCGATTTAATTGCCACAGATTAGCCGAATGCTTGTTTGAATAACCATGTTTTGAGTCTCTTCCTAAACACCATCAGCGACGAGGCTGATCGTACCTCTATAGGGAGGGCGTTCCAAAGCCGAGGGGCCACCACAGAGAAGGCCCTATCTCTTGTTCCCGCCAGCCGCACTTCTGAAGCTGGAGGGATAGAGAGAAGGGACTCTCCGGAAGATCTTAGGGTCCTGGTGGGCTGATAGGCTGAGATACGTTCGGATAGATAAGTTGGGCCAGAACCGTTTAGGGCTTTAAAGGCCAACGCCAGCACTTTGAATTGGGCCCGGTAGCATATCGGCAGCCAGTGGAGCTGGTGCAGCAGAGGAGTTGTATGCTCCCTGCGCCCGGCCCTGTTAGTATCATGGCTGCCGCCCGTTGGACTAATTGGAGCTTCCGGGCTGTCTTCAAAGGCAACCCCACGTAGAGAGCGTTGCAGTAGTCAAGGCGGGATGTAACCAGAGCGTGGACTACCATGGCCAAGTCAGACTTCCCAAGGTACGGGCGCAGTTGGCGCACAAGTTTTAACTGTGCGAATGCTCCCCTGGTCATCGCCGAAACCTGGGGTTCCAGGCTCAGCGATGAGTCCAGGATCACACCCAAACTGCGAACCTGCGTCTTCAGGGGGAGTGCGACCCCGTCTAACACAGGCTGTAACCCTATACCCTGTTCGGCCTTGCGACTAACCAGGAGTACCTCAGTCTTGTCTGGATTCAATTTCAATTTGTTCGCCCCCATCCAGATCGTCACAGCGGCCAAGCACCAGTTCAGGACCTCGACAGCCTCCTTAGTAGCAGGTGGAAAGGAGTGACAGAGTTGAACATCATCTGCGTACAGATGACATCGCACTCCGAAACTCCGGATGATCTCGCCCAGCGGCTTCATGTAGATGTTAAACAACATGGGAGACAGTATTGAACCCTGAGGAACCCCACAAGACAAAGGTTGTGGGGTTGAACAGGAGTCTCCCAATAACACCTTCTGAGACCGACCCTCGAGGAATGAGCGGAGCCACTGCAGAACAGTACCTCCAAGACCCATCCCCGCGAGGCGTCCCAGAAGGATACCGTGGTCCTTTCTGGTGGATCCACATCTGCAACTTTTGATAAATTGGGGAGTGCAAGTGTTTTGTGATAGAAATGACAGCTGGATCCAGGCCTCCACAACACAGCACCCTCCAAAGGTTCCCATCGATGTATTATCGAAGGCTTTCATGGTCCAAATCATTGCGTTGCTGTACGTTTTTCGAGCTGTCTGACCATGCTCCAGAAGCATTCTCTCCTGACATTTCGCCTGCAATTATTTATTTATTTTATTTATTTATTCCCTATTTTCTCTTCCTCCTTAGAGCAGTGGTTCTCAAACTGCCTAATGCCGTGACCCCTTAATGCAGTCCCTCATGTTGTGGTGACCCCCAACCATAACATTGTTTTTGTTGCTACTTCATAACAATCATAACAATCCCGCCTCATAGGAAACCTGTTACAAAACAGGAGCTTTTTTGTTGAGTTCCAGGGCCAGAGAAGCAGATGGCGGAGACATAAGAACGGCCTGCCTCAGGGGAGCGTGCTTGCCCCATCCATGTTCAACATCTACACAAATGACCACCCACTGCCAGAAGGGACAGAGAGCTTCATCT